AATCTCTTTCCCAGGAGGTGTAACGCATGCTTTTTGGACCAGTCGTTCTGCTTCTTGCAATGAGTTTTTTTTGAGCTTCTTGAAATCCTTCTGGACAATTAAGTTCTGGTACACCAAACAGACCCTAAACCATAGAAAAGAACATTATCAACATATTTTTTAAAGTGTAATATTCTATTCTACAATAATTTTAGAAACTGAATATGATGAACCAAAATCCTATTGACAATGTAATTTTGCCAGATAAATACCTTTACAGTAATACAGTAAGAACCAAAAGGATAATTATATTAAACACAACTCCTTTGCACATTTTCCTGAGTTCTCAATCAATTTTGATTTGGAGCCTAAATTACTTTTTCAGCATCTAATTCTGAAAAATTAGAGTTTGTTAATCTGGAGTGTTCCAATAAACTTCACATATATCTTTCCCAGCAAAACCAGTCCTCGTAATCGCAATCAAAAGGTCAGAATAATATTCTATCATGTCGGGAGTGCCAATACAGACTTATGCTGATAGTAAATGAATGTTTACTGTTTAAATAGGAATTAAAAATGAAATCTGCAAATCAGAAGTTTGTCTCCCATTCTCACATAACATTCTACATTTATATATTTTCTGCAGTCCAAACATGGTATCCTACTTCTTAGGCTTTTTCTTTCTATTCCATTCCTTGATGATCTCCCCATTTATTGTCAATATTTAGCCACTGATATATATATATGATTCTTCTCCTCCCAACCCTAGTTTTTTTCTTTTCTTTTCTTTTTTTTTTTGCAAAACTTGGTGTATCTTAAAACTGAATTCTCTTTTTTTATCCAGAAATTTTCTTTAGTATCTGGATGCTTACTTAGAAAATTCAAGTAGCTGTTAATAATTAATCTACCTTTAATAAGCAATTAACTACCTTTGGAAACTGTAATTTGATTTATATGAATAACAATAAACTACCAATCACTGGTCATTAAGTGAATTATCTGCAGTCATTAAGCACAACATTATGTGATCACAACTTGTGACTTACTGTTGGCTTCTCCATTAATTTTGCTTGTTGGATGTTGGTTATGAATGGAGATATTGCAACCATCATAAATGTGCACTGGTTGCAATACACCCAAATGGTGAATATGTGATTGTGTGAAAGCTACGATGGTCATAAGTTAAAGGATCAGTTGTAAACTTATTTTTTTCAGTGCTATAGTAAGGTTGAACAGTCATTAAATAGAACAGTCATTAACGAAGGACTATCAGTACTGTACTATGAAGCTAACCATCTAATTGGGCTCCCAAAACTCAGCAGTGGAAAATGTGATAGGTTAATTTAGATTTTAGTGTGTCCTATATTGAATCATTAAGCTCGAAGCTGATGTTGAGAATAGCGGACAGTAACAAAGGGCAGAAAATCAGCAGTAACGACTCTGAGCAGTAACTAAGGGGAAAATATATTGTCCCACACGTTCCAAAGATCTGAACTGAGATCTCTAGAGAAAGTGAAAGAAATGATTAACATCTTTTTTCGCTTCTTCCAACAATTCTTCAGGCAAGTCCTTAAATGAGTACGTGTGTTGGATAAATGTACTTTTGCCATTCACAAATAAGTAACTTTGGATCTTTTTCCTTAATAAATAAATTAACAAGTATAAACTTTTTGACTAATTACTTTAATTGGCCTAATTTATTTAGTTTTAGGACTCGTGGAGAAAGGTTTCAAAAGGGTTCACAAACTTTTAAGCACTACTGTAGCAGTGGCTGCCTGCTTGAAAGTGGTATTATATGAAGAGTTGTAAAATAAAAGGTAACAGTATATTGTCATACATTGTTTCAATTTAACTTTCCCCAATGCTGAGAACCACAACCTAGCCTCTATCCAGAACACCACAAAATGATTTTTAGCATCCTTGACCAACCTGGGCAGCCTCCGGAAGTGATTTTTAATTCCCAGAATCCCTTAACATAACCGAGGCCAAGAATTAAAAGCCCACAAATCTGATGAGATTCAGATTGGGATTGACTGTTTTAAATTCCAGAAAGGCAGATTCTAGTGCACCTTAGGAAGAACTTTATAAACCAAGTTCAATGTTAAGAGGGCTTTCATTCTTCACTTGTCAGGGGATTCGGCTTCCAATCATTTTAAAATTTGTGCCCCAAAGAGAGCTAGCCTGGTATAATGGTAAAGGTGCTGGTCTAAAAACTAGGAAAAGGTATGAAAGCCCACTGGGTAACTTTGGGCCAGTCACACTCTCTCAGCCCAACCCACCACACAATATATGGATAATAATAGTAACAGTTCAGAGAACTGTTGAATCAATATTGAGAGTATTGAGCACTCTCAGAATATTGAGAAATCAATACTGATTCAAAAGCACCAAAAAAACAATAGTGACAAACATGCCCATCTGCCTGTCCTTGGAAAGAAGTAGAAAGGTAGGAAAAAAATGCCAAATCCAGTCTAAACACCTGGCTGACCATGTGATGAGTCATAATAGTTAAATGCCCCTTTCCTACTCTCTGAACATAATATCGCCAACTTTCATAATAATAGTAGCCATTAAATCACATCTGCCTATGCTAAATCCTTGGGAATAGGTGGATAAAAAATGACAATTCCAGTCTGGCTGACTGTGCAACAAACCAAACCAAATAATAATAATGCGCCCTTCCATCTCTCTAATACAGCACATAATAAATAGTAGTAGTAGTAGTAGTAGTAGTAGTAGTAGTAGTAGTAGTAGTAGTAATAATAATAATAATAATTCAGTTGACTGAGTTTCATGTTTAATGAATAAAGTAAATAATGATGATGATGATAATAATAATAATATAACAACAACAACACCTGCAATAACACCAGCGGAACTGCAAAAAACTGCGCTACTTGGAACATTGTACATCTTAAGAAGGTACTTGGTTGATACCTAGGACGCTGGCAGCGACCCGTCTCAACCATTAGCACCAGTCAATAGTATTTGTGATGCATTTTTGAATGTTCACTTGACTGAGTTTCATATTTAATGATTAAAGTAAATAATAATAATAATAATAATAATAATAATAATAATAATAATAATAATAATAATAAAAAAAATTGCAGAAGGCAGCTTTACTGGGAACAGCTTCCATCCTGCCACGATATCTGTTAACACTGTCAAACATCCAGATTTGCCTATCCCAGGGACTCAGTAGGTAGACAAAAATACCAAATCCAGTCTGAACATCTGGCTGACTGTGCGATGATTATTGTTATTGTTGTTTTGTTGTTGTTGTTGTGCCGTTTTAGCTCTGTGAACTCAGCATCCCCAACATGCACAATAATCCCTTGCCATGGCATGGCTATGGCAAAGGATTACGGAAACTGTAATCCAGCTCATTTGGAAGAAAGCTGCTGAGTCTCTTTTAACATAGAAGCCAAAGGATATTCTGGACATTTTCGGCCCCATCTCACTCCACGCCCGCCTCTCACCGTTTTCTGCCCCACCGCCAGCCGCTGCTGTTGGGCATTGAAGGCGGCGGCCACCGGGGACCAGCTGGTGCTGACCCATTTCTGGGTGCCGCCGCCGAGCCGGCCCAGCCTCGCTTGCTTCAAGCAGCCCGAAGCCCTGCGCGCCACCCGGTGCCATCCAGCCCACATGGTAGCCAGGAGACCGCTCGCCTCGGAGAGACGCACCGCCTCCAAAACGGCCAAGCGGTTCCGGATTGCGGGGACGGCCTCTTCCGCGGCCCGGCCGTGAGAAGGAGCGTCGGCGCAACCTGCTTTTCCCCCGCCCTCCGGCGGGTTTGCTCGGCCTTACACTCTCGTTAAGGCGCCTTCGGTAGGAACAGGACGGACTTCAACTCCCAGAATTCCCCAGCCAAAGCACTAGCTACAGAGGTCTTCAAACTTGGCAAACTTGAATTCTGGGAGTTGAAGTCCACAAGCTGCCAAGTTTGAAGACCTAGCAGAAGCAGAATGCTGCAGAGGAAGGCGTACTTGCTCTTCCACTACCTAACACCAACGACAGCTATTAATAGTAGTTTGTTTTTTTTCCTCCGACAGATAAAATGTAAACTTTTCCCAAGTCGAATGAGATTTTGGCTGCTAACTAGACACACCTGCATCATTTTCTTTTACAATACAGATTTGGTTTTCCATCTTTTTGTTCTGGGGGGATTTATTTTTTTTTTTTACTTTTTTCCAGTCTATCAGGAAGGATGAATTATTATTATTATTATCATCTCTTTTATACATTTAAAAATTCAGTCAACTGGACATATTATTATCTTTATTCATTAAATATGAAACTCAGTCAACTGAACATTCAAAAATGCATCACAAATACAAATAATAATTAAATTCACAAATATTATTATTATTATATTTTGTTATTTATTTTTATTTATTATTACTTAATATTTAATCTTATTTTAAATTAATTATTAAATTAATAAATAATAATTTATTATTAATAATAAATTCATCTTTAAATTGTAATCAGCAAAACCCCAATAAAAACAACTCTCTATTTATCTGTAAACAAGTAAATCATATTTTTCTTTCTTTCTTTTCTTATATACACGACCTGGTCATTTTTTCTAAAAATACAAATTAAAAAAATATACCATTTCTTAATATCTATAAACAAATCTTCAAAACCTATTTTAAAGTTTTCTTTCCAGTGAATCTGTCTCACCTGTTTTAACAACTTTCCAAAACCAACATTCTAATCACCCTTTTGCTTTTTATTTCCTTGGTTTATTTCTGATTTGATTTTGTACCTTTTTCGGATTCCAAGCAATCCACAAAACTCCAGGGCAACAGCAAATAAAAATTTAAATAAACTAGATTTTTTTTCCCCAAGCAAGGGATTATTACTTTTCTTTTCTAAAGGACAAACCTGGCTTTTTCTAATATACACAAGAAAGCATGATTAAAACAAATAATGATTGAATGTGATATGTGATCAAGGAATCACTCTACTGAAGACTGAGGACAGTAGAAATGAAAAATAAGAGAAACCCAGGATTATTTCTTATCTTGAAAAAAAACTAATTTTGTTTTATTTAAACATATTTAGGTATAAATATATAACAGTGGATTGTGTGGTTTTATTAACCAGTCTAAAATATTTTTGTAAAAAGTTAAAACAGGTTTAGTCGATTAAAAGAATACTGTGATTAAATAATTATGTAAGATATTAGCATTTTGTATTAGTGTTGGTGCAATCGTAGATATTCTGAAAAAAATAGCAAAAATATACTTAGGAACCGTATAAACAAAATAATGCACAAGTGGTGTTCAGCATCATTCTGCAAAAAAAAAAAAAAAAAAAAAGACTGGGAGTTCTTGATTTGGCTTCATGAACTTTGATGGAAACTTCATGTGAAAACAAAGCTATGCCATATAATTGACATATTCAAAACCAAGCAGTTTATATGCTGGAGGACGCAGATGCTGGTGCTTCTGAGGTACTAAATAGAAGAAAGCCACTGAAGATCGTGTCATCATCTGGATCTGCATACAATCCATTGAAAGTCTCTCCTCCATAAGACTGCAGCCATATCCGATCCCCTTTCTGAAGTTCCAGGACGATTCCTCCAGATGCCTGGTCTTCGGCCCCTTGGTACATGTCTGCAGTGTGGAGCATCCTGTGCTCGTTTTTAACTAGAGCTACTCTCATATTCCTTGAAAAAACAGTGATGTGGTAGGTAAAATAATAGACCCCAGGGATTTGGCAGGTGAACACTCCGGTTTCGGTGCTATAATGGTCGAAGCTGTTGTATAAGACTTTATCAAATTTGATGGGAACATTGAGTGGAGGAAATTTAGCGGTAAGGCCCACACTGAAAGCGCTTCTGGCAATAACTGGGGTACTGCCAAGATTCCCTTTTTTCGCCTTGTGATCCCTTCCAACCCCTTTCTCCCTGATTGCCTTTACTGCCCTTTGGTCCGGGGCCCCCTATCTCTCCTTTAGGACCCACGTGGCCTTTTGGACCGATGGGCCCCTTTAATCCTATTTCACCTTGAATTCCAATTTCACCTTTTTGTCCTTTGGGGCCAATTGGCCCAAGGTCCCCTTTTATCCCTTTCCTTCCCTGCGGTCCTAGCTCCCCCTGTTGACCTTTGTCTCCTACTGGTCCCGGAATTCCTTTTGGCCCAAATTTCCCAGGCCAGCCTCGCTCTCCTTTATCACCTTTGTTCCCTTTTTCTTCAACTCTGCCGTCAGCCCCTAAATGGAAAGGAAAGACCAGTTAATCTTTTACAGAGTTGTGAAAGCATCAGTCATCTGAGGGATGGAAGCAGAAATCCAAGATAATAGGAAGAGGTGTTTGTTATTCCTGTATTAGCTAACACAAAACCAAGAGCAGATGAGATGAGGCTGCCTTTGATTTTTCAGGACTAGAAGGAAAAAGAAGACGATGCGAGGATCTCCCAAGCAAACATATGAAATAGGAGGGTCTCAAATTATGTCAGAAAGAACAAGTCTGGATAATTGGAGTCTTTGGGGACTTCCACCAAAAGTGTGTTTTTCCTTCTAAAATTCCTTAACACTATTAGGCCTGCTTGGGCCCGGCCAGAAACCATATCCAGAGCTCTTGACAGAGTTAAGTTTTGTACTCCAGCCTGAGGTCCAATGGCAGAAAATGATGTAATCTTTGGCTGTGTTTAATGTAGCATCATGGCTTAACAAATATATATATACAGGTAGTCCTCAACTTAAAACCGCAGTTGAGCCCAACATTTCTGTTGTTAAGTGAGACATTTGTTAAGTGAGTTTTGCCCCATTTTATGACCTTTCCTGCCACAGTTGTTAAGTGAATCTGGCTTCCCTATTGAGTTTGCTCGTCAGAAGTTCTCAAAAGGGGATCACATGACCTCGAGAAACTGCAACCGTCATAAATATGAACCAGTTGCCAAGCATCTGAATTTTGATCTCGTGGCCATGGGGATTCTGCAAAGGTTGTAACTGTGAAAAACAATCATTGGAATGTAAATAACATGACCATGGGGATGCTGAGATGGTCATAAGTATGGAAAATGGCCCTAAGTCACTTTTTTCAGGGCTATTGTAACTTCGAACGGTCACTAAACAAACTGTTGTAAATTGAGTACTGCCTGTATCTATAAAAAAAAAACTCCCTTTAAAAAGTTTGAGACAGGTGATAAATTCCTGCTTCTGTGTGCATAAAAGTGTTTTTCTAGAACTAATTCCAAAGCACTGGACAAAAACTACTGTATTAAAAACTACCGGTATAACATCTTGGTCCATGACATCTAAAATCAAATTATGTACCGAAGATTCTACCAGTAGAAGAGTACAGGAATATCACTATGCTGTCAGGAAATCAAATATGCTCTCAATATGGAAGATATTGAGATATCTTTGGCCCTTTGGCCATCTGATAAAATGGCCAAAGTGGACCAAAGTCATGATCAGTGCTGCATGCTAAGCAGGAGTGAAATCCAGCAGGTTCTGACAGGTTCTGGAGAACTGGTAGTGGAAATTTTGAGTAGTTTGGAGAACTAGCAAATACCACCTCTGACTGGCCCCAGAGTGGGGTGGGAATGGAGATTTTGCAATATCTTTCCCCCAGGTGTGGGGAGGGAATGGGGATTTTGCAGTATCCTTCCCTTGGAGTGGGGTGGGAATGGAGATTTTGCAGTATCCTTCCCTGCCACGCCTACCAAGCCATGCCCACCAAGCCACACCCACAGAACTGGTAGTAAAAAAAATTGGATTTCACCACAGATGCTAAGCCTTCCAAACTGCAGTGGGACTCCAGTAACTGGCAAGACATCAAATCTGATGCATTGCATTTTCTTCTCACGGAGTGAGAAATTTATGGGCCTCAACTTTCCTCAACCTGGTCCCTGTTGGATAAGCGAAATGTACCATATCTGGAGGGCATCAGATTAGGGAAGGCTGGTAGACCCCGTTTTTCTGGCTTTTTATAACATTTTATAAATTGATATGATGGTTATCAGTTGTTATTTGGAAAATTGCATCTTGGACAATTTGTCCATGAAGTTATAATAAATATCCTGTTTCCCCAAAAATAAGGCATCTCCTGATAATAAGCCCTTGAGCGCATGTGCTAAAATACACCCCCCCCCCGAAAATAAGCCGTCCCCAAAAATTATTTAAACGCAGAGCTGGAGCTGAGGAGCCCCAACTTGCTCCACGCGCCCCAAAATAATAAGACCTCTCCGAAAATAAGGCCAAGCGCTTATTTCAGGGTTCAAAAAAATATAGGACAGGGTCTTATTTTTGGGGAAACACGGTAGTTTAAATAAAAAAATAATTATTATATAGCTGTTTGATCAACAATCATTCTATTTGTTTTCCCGAAACAAAACATAGGTATATATCATAGTCAACATCTAATCACAGGACATTACTAGTATATAAGCACAACCTTGTATTCTGGATGAGACCAGTTTTGGTTCCTACCTGGTTCTCCCTTATTTCCATTGATGCCATCTCGGCCTGACTTTCCTGGATTTCCTGGGTCACCTAATAGTAGCAACATATAGTAATTGTTCATATCCATGAGATAACATTCAGAACTTCAAACAGATGCCTTCCTAATTCACTGAAGTATAAAGAAAAGGAGATGCTATAGCACAATCAGACTTGCAAGATTTTGTTGTTATAGCCTCTCTATAAAGAATAGTTCTAGAATTCCTGTGGAGTTGATTACTTTGGTCCATATAGTGGGGCAGATATCAATAATTAAAGGACAAAGAAAATGAAAGAAAGAATATCCTGTGTTTCATAACTGGCTAAATGAGATGGGTTGGCTCAGGTTTAATGTATTCTGCACACACTTCTTCACCACATAATAAAGTATCAGTGTGATATAAAGGATGAATGTATTGGGCTAGATCTGTGAAAATTTAGTAGATGACTTTGAGCCAGTCATTCTGAACCCAGCCTGTCTTAAAAGGGTGTTGTTGTATGGCATAATTAGAGGAAATTACAGATACACTGTTCTAAGTTCTTAGAGAAAAAGCAGGATAGAACTGAATAGAACTGAATAGAATAGAACTGAATAGAATAGAATAGAATAGAATAGAATAGAATAGAATAGAATAGAATAGAATAGAATAGAATAGAATAGAATAGAATAGAATTCTTTATTGGTCAAGAATTTGTCCTTGGTGCATATGCTCTCAGTATACGTAAAGAAAAAATAAAATATATTCGTCAAGAATCGTAAGATACAACACTTAGTGATAGTCATAGGATACTAATAAGCAATCAAATCATACTAGGAACCAATAAAAACATTGAATTAATAAACAATAATAATTAATGAGACTTTTGTACATTAGTCTGCTGGTCGTGCCTTGTTGGACCTGTGATTTTAGAATTAATCAGAGGTTGATTGCAGCAGCTAAAAATACTTCTAACATATTTTGTATTGCTCTTTCAGTTCTCATGACTCCTTGGCTGAAACAATCAACGACCTGTCACGTTGCTTTCAATTGAAATTGTGCAGTGAGTGTGTGCAGTGTGTTACAGGTAGAAAGATATTGAATTGAACCTGACTAAAGATGTATTGTATTTTTTTAAATCTAAGGTGATTTATCTTTGATATCTTACTATGTTTTAGATTAAATTAAGATGAAATTAAGAGGCTTAATGAATGGTAATTTTTAATATGTACATTATGAGTATTTTAAGATATTTTATAGATTTAGGGTTATTTCTTTAAACTCAGAAAAAATGAATTAATAATGTTATGGTTTAGCAGGTAATTTGAAGTTAGGTAATGATAGTTAATTGAATAGTTAATTGAATAAAACATAGTTAAACAAACCATAGCTTAGCATTTTGTCTGAATCAGACCATTTTCTCCTCGGGTAGTATTTAACATGTACATATGCTTAATTTTGTCACTGGCAGTGACTCTGTATCAATGAGGCATCTCCTGCTTGTGTCAATGAGGCAATGCCATGAATGGCAATACTATAGCTCTAGTATATATATTCAGTACATTACATATGGTGGACGATAAGAATTTATTCCTTGTGACACTAAAATTTTGTTGACATTTATCAATTTGTTAGGGATAGGGATTGTTGGTTTTATCACCTGGATAATTCTGCTGTTGTGACAGGGAAGAAGCTGCAGATTTCAGTCACATCCAATCATTCTTCTTCGAAATGTATATTAAATTTAACTTTCCTTTGATTTAAATTACATTTTTATAACATCTTCATTAGCTATTTGGTATGAACTTCAGGAGTCAACTATCAGGCTGCTGATTGACCGTTACAGCTTCGGACAAAGATTGGAGTATTGAGGATATGTTTTTATGCATGCTTCAGAAACATTGTAATGAACATACAGTTCATTACAATAAAACAATATGATACCTGTGTCTCCTTTTTCACCCTTTGTTCCGTCTCGTCCGTCTCGTCCTGGAATGCCATTGTGTCCAGGATTCCCAGGAATTCCAGGATATCTTTCAACACAGCTGTTCTGTCCTGGCGTTTCTTCTGTGCTGACTGCAACAGCCAGCAAAAGAATCCAGAGTTTCATCTTATCTAATTTCAAATAAAAGAATCAATATATTGCTGGTTTTATAAAATCACTAGCTACCACACTTTTCCAAGTAAATGCTAAACTTGAGTCATAAAGAGGTATTAGAGTTTCAGTGACCATTATTCATAATCCTGAAAAATATACTTTTAGTACATCATATACATTTAGTACATCAAGTGTCTTGAACTTGGAACTTCCATTATCTTCTAGCCAATATCACCAATAGTAGCTGTTTGAGGAAGGCTATCAATAGGTAATGTGGAAGAATAATAGGTTTTATAAAGGAAATTATTCTAACTAGTTTGCATTCAAGGCTTACCTTGACTTATTGCTGCTCAGATGGATGTTTTTTAGACATATTGTACTTTCCTCCAACGGTTGTACATGAAGGAAAAATAAGGATAATCATTTAATTGGTTACTAAGTTCTAAAGAGTGTTATTCAGTCTTCAGAAATGTTCAATGATTAATGTAGAGATAGATGCCAAGATGTTGATGCAGAATGATTTTAGTATTTAAATATTAATCATCAGCAAAACTGCCAAATGCTGATAATAACTGCACAGCATTCTACCACCTTCTACACAACGGGGGCTTCGAAGTTATATTGGATATGCAATTGTACTGATCTGAGCTTCTGCTTCCCTGTATACATGTTTCCTTGTATTTTCATTTTTTCTTTTTCATTTTATTAAATTTGTATACCGCCCTACTCCCGAAGGACTCAGGACAGTGAACAGCCATAAAATAAAACATATAAATACAAAATTTAAAATAGAGATAAAACAAATTAAATAAATTTGGCTGAACCATTTTGAAACCCCAATTTAAAACCAAATTTAAAATTCCCATTTAAAAAGAGGAAAAGTTTAGGTCAGGCCAGCTTGATGGAATAGGAACGTCTTAAGCGCACGGCGGAAGGTACACAGATCCGGAATCCTCCGTATCTCGGGGGGGGGAGCTCGTTCCAGATTGTAGGTGCCCCCACAGAGAAGGCTCTCCCCCTGGGGGCCGCCAGTCGACATTGTTTGGCCGACGGCACCCGGAGGAGCCCCTCTCTATGGGAGCGTACTGGTCGGTGGGAGGCTATTGGTGATAGCAGGCGGTCCCGCAAATAGCCAGGTCCTAAGCCATGGAGCGCTCTGAAGGTGATAACCAAAACCTTGAAGCGCACTTGGAAGACCACCGGGAGCCAGTGCAGCTCGCGCAGGAGAGGCGTTACATGGGAGCGCCACGTCACTCCCATCACCACCCGCGCGGCCGCACTCTGCGCCAGTTGGAGCCTCTGAGTTCTCCTCAAGGGGAGCCCCATGTAGAGAGTGTTACAATAGTCCAGACGGGAGGTGATGAGGGCATGAGTGACCGTGCGTAACGAGTCCCGATCCAGAAAGGGACACAACTGGTGGATCAGGCGGACCTGATGAAAAATCCTCCCGGTCACGGCCGTCAAGTGCTCTTCTAAAGACAGCCATGAATCCAGGAGGACACCCAAGTTGCGAACCCTTTCCGTGGGGGCCAATGCTTCGCCCCCAATAGTCAGCGATGGCACCAGCTGACTATATCGGGACGTCGGAAACCACAGCCACTCGGTCTTGGATGGGTTGAGCCTGAGCCTGTTTCTCCCCATATGTATGTATGTATGTATGTATGTATGTATGTATGTATGTATGTATCAGTGGTGGGTTGCCCCCAGTTCGCACCGGTTCTGTAGAACCAGTAGTAAAACCGGCGGGAGGCTCTGCCCACTGACCCCGACATCATCAAAATGCTTCTGTGCATGCGCAGAAGCTTCTGCCTTTAGTAAAGGTAAGTAGAACCCACCCCTGATATGTATGTTTCAAGGGGAAAAGATCCTTGCCCCTTTGAAAAAGAATGTACAAAAACAACTTCCTTACTCTTCTACAAGACCAGAACTGCTATTAATCTTTTCATTTCACTAAGATAGAACTTAATTAAGGACTACCTGATGATGATGATGATGATGATGATGATGATTGTATGGTGTTGTTACATTAGCCAGGAGACCACAATGCTATTGCAGTGTAGTAGTTTGGCAGCCAATTTACCAGCTCTATTGTAGGGCAAAGTTTTGTGCTTCCCAAGGTGGCTTAGCACCAGAAAGTAAGTTGAGTGGCTCTTCTTACAGCATCATTCTAGGCCCCCTTCCTTCTCTGAGGTCACTGATAAATGGGCACCGCAACCAGGAAGGTTCAGAGCTGGAAGGAATCTGACTGCCTGCACAGAACACTAACCCGTCTCCCCATCGAAGTGGTACCTATCTATCTACTTCATAGAATATGCTTTCAAACTGTTATGTAGGCAGAAGCTGAGGCGAGTGACAGGAGCTTTTAGTTAGGATTTTAACCTCTGGAGTAAAGATCATCTCTAGTGTCATTAAGCCACTGAGCTACTGGGCCTCTTTGGCTACCTGATGACTACATAATGATACCATATCCATGAAGGGTATAACAACTATTCCTCCTTTTGTATTCTCAATGTCAATAATACAAGTTAACATGTGAACACAGAACCTTGACCAATGGATATTCATTTGGGGAGGTCTGATTTAATCCCAAAAATTTTGGCAACTGTAATAGCATCTCAATGGCTTATTCAAATTCTTTAGAGTTTGTTGGTTATGGTACGGTTCCTCAAAAATTTCTGGAGAATTAAATGGTTTGACAATGAAAATTAGGGAAAGTTGAACAGATCACTTCAAGTTCAGCAAGAGACAGAAGACCTAAAGATAAGGAAATAATTCCTCCTTTGCAATTGCAGGAAATCAGAAGATTAAAGCTGGTCATTTTTATTTCAGCAAAACGAGTAATATATTAACATTTCCCCCCAAAAAGGAAGACACTTGTTAATAACTAATCAGCCTCATAAATAAGCAGTGTTAGTCTCAAAGGTGCTTTTTCAAACAGAACTGGACTGTTTTGTCGTTGAGAAAAAAGAACAAAATGTTTTGTTTTGATTACGCAGACAAGCAGTGACAACATGTTCAGAGCACAGAAATGATTTAAAAAAAGGTGTAGTTTTCAAAATCTCTACTGCTGTTTTGTCATTTTAGATATGATAGAAAGCTCACTATCAACAAATGCCTTTGGCAATGATTTCACATTAAATTGTCTTCTAGACTGTTATGAACAGTGAATCAAATGACAAGGTACATTATAATGGTTGACAGAGAAGCTAATAGGGGCATAAATAATACTACTACTTTTGTAAGTAATTATAAGGCCATTTCTAAACATTAGCTTGGGAGTCAGGTTATTTCTGAACACGTTTATCATATTTTGTTTACTAGTTTTTTTTCATATTGATTATTCTATTCTATTCTATTCTATTCTATTCTATTCTATTCTATTCTATTCTATTCTATTCTATTCTATTCTATTCTATTCTATTCTATTCTATTCTATTCTATTCCATTCCATTCCATTCCATTCCATTCCATTCCATTCCATTCTTCACCAAGAGTTGTTTTGGATAATGAGATAGAAAGCATATACTAAAATAAATAAACCCATAACTAACTTTTTAGAAAGAGTGCTCCAGAACTCTTCTGAGTGTCAGGTCCCAGGTGCAGGATGAAGCAAGAAGACAAAAAAAAAAAAACAACAAAAAAAAAAACCCAAGAGTTGTGGCCTTAAGAACAGTCCCTCCCATTTCACCCAGTGATCCTCTGTGCCTGACATGTCACTTGTACTATTTCTGAATGGAATGCAGCAAATAGAATATGTACACATAATTGAACAACCCACTTTATTTTATGGTTTACTGTGAATGACCATGTAAAAGCCAACTAGATGATTTTGGGCCAGTCACTCTCTCTCAGCCCAACTCACCTCACAGGATTGTAGTGTTGGGGAAAATAGGAGGAAGGAGTAGTATTATCAAGTATTGCCATCTGGAATTACTTATAAAATAATAAAGGTGGGATAAAATATATATATTTAAAAATAGCCCCAAGACTCAGTGGTCCACATCTGATATCCCATGCCTCTTGTGCAAATTATTAGTGGTGAAATTATTTCTTGGTGTTAGTATTAGGCTGATGACAAAGGAGTAATTTTAGTGAAAACTCAAAACTGTTCCTCTCCTTTTCTTAGTCATTTGACACACAAACATATAGTTTAAGTGTAGATTATCAAATAACACACTTGGCTGAATTCACAAAACCCATTAAGTTGCAGACCATATAGAGAGCATGCTAGGATTTACATGTCATGTTTAGGCAAAAGCAATTATGACAATATAACATGTGAATGTAGCAATATTAATGTAGAATGCATGAATGTATGTCCCTTACTTCATTTGAGTTGAACATGGCAAATAAGGCACTTAATGCCTTATGCCACTTATGCATTTCTACAAACATTTAGAACCTACTTAAAAAGTTTTTTGAAAACAGAAGTAGGCCAGATAAATAAAAGCACGTTTCTTTTGCTGCCAATAAACTCCATTTTTTAAAGTTTCACTTCATGCACTGTGAAAAAAAATCACACACACAAAATAAATTGTACAGTAACATTTATATAAGACACTGCTGGTAAATGTTATGCACATTAAAATATAAAGTTCGAAGACGATAAAAGGAATGTACATTTCTATATACATTGCAGGAAAATACATTTGATATAACATATTAATGTGATAAATCTGGCCAGTGGGATTACAGCAAATACATAGCAGGCTGAAGGGCCCATATACACATATTAAATTTCAGGTTGCACAGCCTTTTTAAAATGAAGCCATGACCTATGGCTGAAACAAATACAGGTAGTGCTTGACTTATGACCACAAAAGAGCCCAAAATTCCCATTGCTAAGCAAGACAATTGTTGAGTTTTGCCCCATTTGTTCACCTTTCTTGCCATAGCTGTTATTAACAACTGCAGTTGTTAAGTGAATCTGATTTCCCCATTGCCTGTGCTTGTCAGAAGGTTGCAAAAGATCATCATATGATCCTGGGACACTACAACTGTCATAAATACACGCCAGTTACCAAGCGTCTGAATTTCGATCACGTGACCATGGGGATGCTGCAATGGTCATAATTGTGAAAAATGGTTATAATTCCATATGTTATTCAGTGCCACTGTAACTTCAAATGGACACTAAACAATTGATTGTAAGTGGAGGACTACCTGTATAGATGCAGAAAGCACAAGCTGTATGAAAGAAAAAAGTCACAGAACACTTGCAAAATAAAATATACAAGCTGAATACTTTGTACACATATTAATAGTTTTAAATTGATTTTTTTTTCAAGAATGCATCCATTATAAACAAACTCATGTACACAGGAAAACAAGCAATTGACAAAAATATTGTTTTTATTATGGCTAAGATCCTTTGGCTGGAGCTCCAAGTTAGCATCTAAAACATTAATTTTTTTAAAAAAAAATGTCCCCACCAACAAAATTTCAACCTCTTCACTTTTTAAAATATTAAAATACAACTTTTATAGCCAAGGTTTATTTTAAGTTAAAAGTTCTGGTTTCTGAAACCCAAAGGGTATCTATTTTGCATAATACTTAAGAGCTGTCCATGAATAAGTTGGCAATATACTATATAATAATACTAGCCAAGTTTTTCAGTTTAGTTCATGAGAAGATAACCTCTAGTTAACTTATTTGAAGAAAGTAGTGGCACATTAAGTGTTTTGAGCTCAACATCTTCCATTTTGAGTTTGAAATGGTTTTTAGTTTAAAATCACTGTTCCAGCCAGAATGCAAATATTCCAGTGCTGTTTTGACTATTCTGTAGTGTTCTGAACTTGAAGCAGTCCCATTTTGAATCCAAGACTCTTCCAAGATAGTCAGAACAGCTTGGGAAACTTCCATAAATCAGAACAACCCATTTGAACTTAAGACATATTTTGAATTTGAAATATTGCCCACCTTTCTTGTTAAAATGTAAGTTACTAATGAATTAAGGATTCAGAATTTGGCACTTCTCTTTCTCAAGAGAAGCAGGGTGGAATTTTCTGTTTTTCAATTCATTCACACAAGGAGAACTCTTATTAATCTAGGATTAAATTAAAGATGCTGTGTAAAAATGCCCTTCAGTCTTCACACCAGTTAATTCAACAGATGTTTTCATACCCAACCAGCATGGCTATTGTCCTGAATTATAGAAATTGATCCTATAAAATAGGGGACTCCAGGTGTGCACAATATTTAATATGAGAAATCTCAAACCATGGATACTGGGTATTCAATTTTGTTCATTATAATAATTTATGCTTTCACCCTCTTGTGACAAAGACTTTGGAAGGCATCTAAGAAGTTAAACCAAGCAACAATCAAATTCAGCATCCACTTTTCTGAATGTAGGGTGGAATTGGTACACAGCTTTAAAATCAGTTACACTGTTTAAAATTTGAAATTCTGATCAAGGCAAGTTTATTATCAATTGGAAAAACAACATTCTGAAATGTACTTTAATTTCCAGATAGACCAGAGTCAGGTTTAATTTACCTTTGCATGTCCATTTTGCCTTTGTGTTTCTTAAATAAGAGTTGTATACTATTAGCAGTATATTTTTGAAATCAGGGTTTTTAAATGTAAGAAAATTGAAATTTATGGGGAAAAAATTATAGAAATTCATATGCTTTGGGTAAGGGATGAGGTAAAAAGTAGAAAACATGAGAACAAATACAAACCTTAACTTGGCTTTTCAGAATTTAATCAGCAGATGACGATAAAATATTAGTCAGGAAATATTAGACATTAATTTGTTAGGATAAATAGCTTACAAGAGTTCTTGCAGTAATCTAAATTGTGATCATTCCTATCAGGTTTTTGTAGTATTCCAGGCTAAATTATTATCAATATTGAAAAAAACCTAATAATTTTCTCTCTTTAAATACTCTTGCAAGCTACAAAAGCTTTTCCTTCATACAGTACACAATTAGGCTGCAAAAAGCTGTCTAACAGACTATTAACAAAACGTTTGCCAAGCAAAATGTTGAGCATAGCATTATTCTTTCATAATATGAACAGTATGATTTCCCTCTCTTTGTAACATTTTTTATTTTTTATTTATTTATTCCGTCAAGCATGTATTTTATGACAGATACAAGTGTAAACATAATTATAAATACATGAAAAGGATATGAATAAAAGAAAACATTAGGACATTTGAGGGTTTTCTGAAGAATTTATCAGTGCATCTACAAATTCAAAGAATTCTATTCTATTCATTTCAACCACTAAATCTAGTATTTACTGGAAAGGGAACTGGACACATGCAGAGAATAGAGGATGTTGTTTTAATCCTCTCTCTTTTGTCTAGACAAAATAGCAGCTATCCCTCACTACTTCTCGTCCTGAACTAAGAGTACCAACAGAAATGGTGGCCTCTTCTTGTAATTATAAATAGCAGTCCCTCCATCTAAACAGTGTAAAGAGGACTTAAAGCATGTTTAACAGAACTTTTTGGGGAGGAAATAGAAAAAAGTGAGATGGGGAGAAGAAGGTCTTCCTGGAAAGAAATATGGCTAATTTGATATTATGATTAAAGGTAGAAAAATCTATGCCTCATACTCTCAAAATCACAGTACTGAAGTGTGGCTGCAAACCACCATAAATAAAATGCTGTGACTTATTGATATTAGGTGGTAAATAAAAAGGAAATAGATATATTAAACTTCTAATACACCTAATGCATCTATGAAGAAAACCTTTGCCCAATTTTCAACCTGCCAAAATGATAATTTTAAAAAATGCAGTTGTCTTCTGATGACATCACCTCATCCCCTCATACAACGCTCAACTACAACAAAAAATATTTTAACATAGTGAGCCCTAAACCAAAAATGTCTGGTCAGCCATCTAAAATACATTATAGACTTTTGTTAAAAGTCCCAATTGTTAAGACACAATTTTAGGGGCACATTTTAAAAATATGGATTTTTTCAAATTTTAAAGATGTTCATTTTAAGGGAACGAGCTGAGTTACTAAGATGGTTTATACATGACCAAGAGGAATATAATATCTTATTAGGCATATTCCCCTTCTCTGGGGTCCCCAGACTGTGATTGGATCAGTCAAAAATGTTCTCAGAGATCATGCATTGAACAGGAGGTGGATCTAGCTGGCCCCCAAGATGGATGGAAACTAATTAAGGACAGAACCAACCTAGAACTAAGGAGAAATTTCTTGACAGTGAGAACAATTAATCAATGGAACAGCTTCCCTTCAGAAGTTGTGGGTACTCTAACACTGGAGGTTATTCAGAAGAGGTTGGACAGCCATTTGTCTGAGACGGTAATATCAAAAGCAAGTATGGCTAATATCAAAAGCAAGTATGAACAGCATGATGAACAACTGAGCACCAAAACTATTTTAAGGCATCGTCCCCCTGGCTGAGTGCTTTCTAGGTGAATCAGAATTTCAGTCTCTCTAACCCAGTACCAATGCTATTTTGGCATTAGACTCAAAATCCAGCATACCTGGAGGGAAGGCCTGTTTTGAAGAATATGTTATGCTATGTACAGAGACATATATTGCATGCTTGTTTTTAAAACTATCTGTTCATATTTAAACATTCTTGTTAGTAAAGACATTTCAATGTGTATTAAAAATGAAGATGCACCAATTCCTTTCAATATATTTATAAAATCAATCAGGGCTAATCAACACCTTTTGTTAGCATTTTCATATCAGTTTTTATTGTCTATTGCTGAAGCTGTCAATTGATAAAAATCATTATAACACCATGTGTGTGCCTATATATAATAAATGTAATTGTCCAGTTGTGTCCGACTCTAGGGCACAGTGGTCATCTCAGTTTCTTGGCCAAGGGAACCAGCAGAAGACATTTCCATGGTCATATGGCCAGCATGACTATATGCCGAGGCACATTTAACACTGTTGCCTTCCCACTGAAATGGTATCTATTTATCTACTCGCATTTGCATACTTTCGAACTGCTAGATGGGCAGGAGCTGGAACAAATAACAGGAGCTCACTCCATTCCAAGGCACTCGGGTCTCAAACTTGGGCTGTCAGCTTTCCAACTGAAAAGCTCAGCATTTTGACCACTGAGCCACCATGCCCCCTATATGTACATAAGATGGCACAATGAAGTCAAACTTTGGAACTACTGAACCTCCCTAAGCTCAGTCTTTAATACTGAAGCATGTCTGTTCAAGTAGAGACTGAAAAAAGTTGCAGTTTAGCGGGATGGCAACCTCTCCTAGCTATATCTGCTCAGAAGTAATTTACGATTAAATCAAAATGGTTTACTTTCTAAACTTCTATTGAGGAATGGACTCAAATATGTGTTTTACATTTTAGCTTACCTGGTTGATGCCATAGCTCTTCATGCAGTTTAGCCTTTCTTTTGGGTCAAGCTGGCTAAGAAATTGTAATCCAGCCTATTTAGGAAAGGCTGATACTTTTTTTTTAAAGAACCCTCCCCCAATCTTTGTAACAAAAATAATATAAAAATCCCTGAATTTGTTTTTGTTGTCATAAGTTGCTTATGCATTACTCTGAGCTGTAGTTTTGTCAACCATGGTTTAAATCAGAATTGGCTGGATATGCTCAACAGACTGTGGCATGAACCACAGTTAATAAACTGCAGATCTTGGATTACTGTAACAGACCAAATTGAACACATCCATTATGGCTTAGTGCTAATTACATACCCACCCTGTTTTCAAGATCCAGTGTTTTACTATAAGCATTAGCAATATACGACTAAAACAGAGAGGGTGAACAAGAGCATGCCACAAACCCTAATTTATGGCAGTTGTCTCAAAGGGGGGTATTTTTAGCAATTAAACCCTGCTAAAAAAACAATTTCATTTCACAGAAGAGAACAAACCAAATCAAAACAAGGACATATCATTTTAATAGTCTATAAATAGGCCATGTTTCTAACCAAGTTTCATCAAAGTTCATTTTCTAATGTCACCAGATGGTCCTAGTGTTGGATACTCTTAACATAATGCCAAAGAAATAATTGTTAAGCCTCTTCTGGCTTATCTGATGCACATAAGAGCAACCACATAAAAAGATCATGTTGGAACTTGTCTAAAGTCATTTTTTGTAAGAAACCCAGATGGAACAAGTACATTTATGGGATCGAGTAAAAACTCTCTCAGGTTGCTTTTTCATATCCTTATCTTTGTATAAGTCGCATTGGTGCCATTTAAGGCACTTTTAAAATTTAAAAAGAAATACTTTCATTTTTTTTCATAAAGTACAAGCAGGCACACTGGAAACCAATGATGCAGTTTTCATGGACTCAAGAGCCAGAGATAGCAAAGTGAAATCCATTTCTTGATGAATAGAAATGCATACAGCAAAATACCATTTTTGGTAAGACTCCACCCTGAGTCCAAGAGGGACTTTCTTCATATAAAAATACATGTTCGTATATTTATGACACCAAATTCACATTTTCTTCCTTTTGCCATAAATGTGCCTCGGAGGAAGTCTAAGTCTCATTTAACAGAAGAACACAGCAAACAAAGACAAATAGGAAGAACTAAGCAGTTTTCTCAGTATCAACAACTTGATGATGTAAAAGCCATAGGAAGGATGAAACCACTCTTTGCCGAATTCTGCACAAAGGCAGAGAAGTTATCCTTCCTGTTTTTAAATTTGGCCAATCCATTCATTATTAAGCCTGTCAAATTGGCTTAAAATTTTTGAACCATTCCTTTGGTACAAGGGTGACATATGCACATGGCATTTTCTGAGAAAGCAGCAATTTGCTATTGTGGTCAAGTGGCAACTCTCCCATCAGTCTGTTTATTGATTCAGGACCACATCCATTTCAGATCATTCACTATCTCCTTCAATAAACCCACGTCTTCTTCACGTTGTTCAATGAAGGCTATGGTGGAAAAATCAAAAATCAGCCCATATCTTCTCTCCAGGGCAGAATCCAGGTTTTCCAACCGGACCAACAAAAGCTTTGCTGGCAAATTGTTCCTCTTTTCTGGATGGCCTCTCAGGCCATGGATGTTTGGGCTGTTCATTTCTTAAATGGTGTCAGTTTGTTAAAAGTGTGCCAGAAAAGGGATGGTTTCCGCTTTGGTTCTGCTAGGGCGAACACCTGCTGCTGTGGAATACTAGTGGGCACTGTAACGTGACGCTGATGGATAGGATGCAAACTTTGGAGTAGTGGTGGCACTGGGCAGCCATTATAGTTGACACCTGTAGAAGGAAAACAGTATCCAAAGATTATAATTCAGGAGCTGTTCACATGACACTTTTTACTATACATCAGGGAATAGGAATCTGAGGCCAGGGGCAGCCTCACCATTAGGCAAAATTCCAAGGACTAAACAGGATGCATGGTAAATTGAAGCCAACTCCCTTTGCTGTCCACAACAGTTCACTCATTATGCCTAAACTGCCTAAGTAATTTGCTGCCTAAGTGACCATTTCGCGATGTATCACACTGAGGACCCAAACAGAACCAGCAATAATAATAATAATAATTAAAAGCAACGAAGCAAAGATGATGATTAGGGGACTGGAGGCTAAAACATATAAAGAATGGTTGATGGAACTGGATATGTCTAGTCTTATGAAAAGAAGGACTAGGGCTGACAATGATAGCAGTGTTCCAATATCTCAGGGGCTGCCACAAAGAAGAAGGAGTCAAGCTATTCTCCAAAGCAGCTGAGGCAGAGGGGAGTTTCAGCAGGTTCTGACCAGTTCTGGAGAACCAGTAGTGGAAATTTTGAGTAGTTCAGAGAACCGGTAGTAAAAATTCTGACTGGCCCTGCCCTCATCTATTCTCTGCTTCCCAAGTCCCATCTGATCGGGAGGAAATGGGATTTTGCAGTAATCTTCCCCTGGATTGGGGTGGGAATGGACATTTTACAGTATCCTTCCCCTGCCACACCCACCAAGCTACATTCACCAAGCCATGTCATGTCCACCAAGCCACACCCACAGAACCGGTAGAAAAATTTTTGAAACCCACCACTGATCTGAGGGCAGGACAAGAAGCAATGGGTGGAAACTAATCAAGGAGAGAAGCAACTTAGAACTAAGGAGAAATTTCCTGACAGTTAGAACAATTAATCAGTGGAACAACTTGCCTCCAGAAGTTGTGAATGTTCCAACACTGGAAGTTTTTAAGAAGAGATTGGGTAACCATTTGTCTGAAATGGTATAGGGTTTCCTGCCTAAGCAGGGAGTTGGACTAGTAGACCTCCAAGGTCCCTTCCAGCTCTCTTATTCTATTCTTTTCTAATGTTAAGAATGGGAATATACAACAGACGGAGAAAAAGATGTCAGAGAGCTGGTGAGGCAATGGGGCAACAGAAAAAGGGAAACGGGGGGGTCTTCTTTTCTACCCAAGCAGCAGTCCTTTTCCTATCTCAGATAGTATGTTTTTTTGAGACACCATTGCTGTGATACTCTAGTTTTCCTGGAACTATACACCTAGCTGATTCAGAGAGCAGGATCCAAAAAGAGGCTGAAACAACATGCTTAACCAACATTGTTTTCTTAAGTACATGTCTGTAGATACAGGTCATACCTAGCAGTAGAACAGGATAATGAACCATGTGCTGAACTATGACTCCCAGAACCCACTTACTGTATTAGTTAATAATGCTTCGTTTTCTAGGTTTAGACCAGTGTTTCTCAACCTTGGCAACTTGAAGATGAGTGGTCTTCAACTCCCAGAATTCCCAGCCAGCTATGCTGGCTGGGGAATTCTGGGAATTGAAGTTCATTCATCTTCAAGGTTGAGAAACACTGGTTTAGACAATACTTTAGCCATAAAATAGTGTGCTCAATGTGCATAATTCTTTACACACCAAAGAAATTAACAATAGTTAAACAACTTCTAAAGACATAATGTATTCATAGAAGTTGTTTAACCATTGCTAATTTCTTTTGTGTGTAAAGAATTATGCAAATGGAGTCCATTAATTTATGGCTAAATTATTGTGTAAACCTAGAAAATGAAGCATATTAATTAATGCAGTGAGTGGGTTCTGGGAGTCATAGTTCAGCACATGGTTCATTATCCTGGTCTACTACTAGGTACTCTCTGTATCTACAGGCATGTACTTATGAACATAATGATATATATGGATTAACAACCAGCAGTCGTATCTTGCCAATATCCAGCTAGTAAAACATAGGAAAATTTAACCCCTTGGATCTATATTGCCTGGTCTATGTGCCACCTCCTTATACATTTAACACCCAAGAAAACAGCATTATTCATCTGAAAGGAAACGTATGTTGAGTGAACCAGTCTTTGGTCATGTTGGGGGATGATGCTTAAATATTCACCTTTCATTTTCCCTTGTCTTGACTTCCGTGCATTTTGCATTGCTTGCTTCTTTTGGTTTTCTGAGATTTCCATTCCTACAGTTGAAGGATAAATGATACAAATTTCAATGCTGTTTTAAGAACAGAGTAGAGGTGGGTTTCAGCAAGTTCTGACCAGTTCTGGAGAACCGGAAGCGGAAATTTTGAGTAGTTTGGAGAACCGGTAGTAAAAATTCTGACTGGCCTCGCCCCCATCTATTCTCTGCCTCCCAAGTCCCAGCTGATCGGGAGGAAATGGGGATTTTCCAGTAACCTTCCCCTGGAGTGGGGAGGGAATGGAGATTTTACAGTATCCTTCCCCTGCCACACCCACCAAGCCAAACCCACAGAACCGGTAGTAAAAAAATTTGAAATCCATCACTGAACCAGAGTGTAATATGTTGTTAAAGCAAAGCATAACTAAGTAACAATTAGCTAAGGGATCTAATTTCAAAAGAGGAAACACATGTTTCTTGTGAAACACATCAGAGTTTAATAACAGAGCACAAACTTTACACATAGAAAAAGCTCAGTTTCCATTCTCAACATCTGCACAAGGATGTCATAACTTCTGAAAAACAGAAACAAGCCACTGCCATTCAGTGTAGAGAATACTCAGAAAATGGACAAATGGTTTGATTCAGAATAATGCAGATTTGTCAGTCCAGAACAGTTCCACCAAAATGAATAGATAAGTAGCAATCGCAAGGAATGATTCCTGAGAATCTGGATCTGCTGTTTTCAGTCATAATAGTACATAACGCTTATATTTGAAAGTTATTTGTTATTTAAAATTAAATGTATATACCACCCAACTCTGAGTAGTTTTTGAATCCACTGATACCAAAATCACATTGAAATAAACAAAATATTACATCTTGGCTTTAATTTAAAAAAAAAAAATCAGTAAGGTGATCCTTCCAGCTCATTGATGGAACAACTCTAATGACAAATGCATCTAATTATAGCCAAATTAAATTTTTAAAAAATCATGAAATTTTACACAATGCTGCTGCAATCTCACAACATTTGGGCTACATGATGAACACTTTTGTTATAGTTTTGCTGCTATAGGAACAGGGGTGGGATTCAGCCGGTTCAGACCGATTCGGGCAAACCAGTTGTTATGATTTTCCGCAGTTTGGAGAACCGGTAAAATGAACCACTGGCTGGACCCATCCACCCTGCCCTGCCTCGCCCTGCCTTTCCAATTCTACTGATTTCAGTTAGCAAAAGATAATACTTACCCATTTCTTTGTCTTCTTGCACTCGTCTCCTCTCATTTGCACAGGCCTCCAGCCACTTTTTTTTATCACCTGGCTTTTTCCCACAAAACAGGTGAACTTCTTCTGTAGCGTTATTAACAATTTTGAGAGCATTTTTTACAGAGATATTGAAGTCTTTGTCTTTGCCATCCTCAACATCTACCACCTCCATTTCGTCCATGTCCATCCGGCCTTTGTAATACAACATGTCCCTTCTCAATAAATCTTTCTTGCAGAACACAAGCTGATGGTCAAAAAGGAAGAACGTTCTTTGCTGACTCTTGCCTTGTTTGGAGATTTTGGTCAATTCTCCCGAGTGGATTAATTCAGAGCTTTTGCCTAAGATGTCTTGCCCCTAAAGCATTTGTAAAAAAATAAAAAATGAAAATGAAAGGGAGATACCAAACTTTATCAGCACCAAGAATGACGTTAAGATAGATAAATAATTCATCTTCTATTCATCTTTCTTATATGACTTAGTCTCCAATGTGATAGCCACCAATCCTGAACTGCTTGCCACTTTTTTTGATCCCTATGTCAGCAAATACAGCAAAAACTTTCCTTACCAGAATGGGGAAGACACCCCTCTCCACCCCATCCCCCATGAACAAATATTAGAGCTAGATGTCACCCATGTTAAGTATCATCAATAGATTAAGAGGTACAAAACAGGAGGGTTCATTTCTCTCCTCCACACCTCCATTTAAGTCAGTGGAATGGTCTGTTGTGTACATAAATATTGGAAGATTATTTCCTGGTGAAGAACAGCCAGAGAGAGTATCTATTCCTGCCAGACACCCTTGTGGCAATACGTCTAGGGTGTTTTGGTGGGAAATAAGATTTTCTCCTGTTATTCACCTGCCTGGAGCTATTATCTCAAGTCACTAAAACAAGGAATATTATTTTAAATATTATTATTTATGGTAAATCACTTAAGAGCTATGAAGTCTAGACTAGACAAAAATCAAGAGTTCAGTAGCACTTTTTACAGCCTAATATTTTTATTAGCTTATGCCTTTTAACCCTAGAGAAAGGAGGATAAAATATAAATGTAGCAACTTCTTTTCTTGTCTTCCTTTCTATTTTCTATTTCACTCTTTGCACCTCTTCCTTACTTTTCTGTTTCAAAATTTCTATTTTTATTCTTTTTGTTTTGTTTTTTTAAAAAATAAAAATTACATAGGGAAATATTTTTCCTACTGAAAAACTAGGTCTTTGCCTCTGTCTCTCTGTTTCAGAGTTTGTGATTGTGCTAATGCACCTGCTTTTAGTTATAGCTATGCTGGCTGGAGAATTCTGGGAGTTGAAGTTCACAAGTCTTAAAGCTGCCAAGTTTGGGGACCCTGCCCTAAATGGTAGCTGACCTCTCCAAAACAGAATTAAACAGGCTGATTCAAATGCTTATTGAATTCTGAACCTAAGTATACATAATTGTATTGGATTTTAGATTTAAACCAAATTATCTCTCCAACCTAAGGGTCATCAGAAAGGTACCTAAGAATGCCAGGATCTTATTACATTCCTAAATAGTGACTGATCTTCCCAGATCATGGATTATGATTGCCAAACTCTCTCAAAAAACAAGACTTTTTTTAAAATGCCCCCCTAAATTGCCAATTCCAGTTCAACGAGATTACTTGCAGCAGTTTTACAAAAATAACCAAAAACTAGGAGAGCCCAGTCAAGTACAAATGCCTCTCTTTTGCACAGATTATATCCTCAAAATGTTAGAGAGTGAAGAAAGAGTAACCAGTGTTCGGGAAAAGGAAAAACGTACATTGACTCCAACTCACTGAGTCCAACTTCACCTCTTTTCAATTTCAACTATAAAGCCATCACCCAGCTGCCATGGGAATCATTGTAAAATCTCCAAATAACTAAATAATTTCTAACACTGTTTCTTGGTTTAGCATGGTTCTCCTATCCTTAAGATTTTTTTCTGAAGCCTTTTGGGGGTAAGCATTAACAATGTAATGTAGTGGAGCTTGTTGAGTTTTTAGGACATCAGCCACAATGAATCATTTGAGAAAAATAAAAGTGAAATAAATTAATAATTTCAATTATGAAATAATCATGATCACCACAATGGAAATCAACAACCACCTTTTCAGAGTGAAAACAGCAGAAAATAAGAAAACACCCTTTGAAACAGTTGGGAGAAACCCTGGGTCTTCAAGCCTAAAAAATGACTGGCAATGTTCCCCATACCTCCCAGTTGACAATGGAGACTTGCCAGCGAGCAATCTTGTCTATACTTTCCAGTCTTCGTTTGCGTTCATTGATGAGGCAAGCTACGTTCTTCATGGCTTCATATGCTGCCTTGATATCGTTATAGTCACTGTCAAAGAAAGAAAGAAAGATATTGGTCAATCCCTGCAGAGGATGAATCTTATTCACTTTCTAGGATGATATCCTACTCTAATCCCAAAGGTGTTTTTTCAGGAGGCAACTGGACTTTCTTGTTTTTTTCTTTCAAAGATGTTTTGCTTCTCATCCAGATTTTTAGCTATACAATTTGGGATGAACACCCTTTGAATGGTGTGGGAGTAGGAATGGATTTCCAGAAGAAAAAATTGCAGACTACAGGAACCAGGAGCACTACTCAGGTGACCCTGAGGACACAGATAAACCTCCAAGTTGGACCCTCTAAAAGGATGCAAATTAACAGCTGTCTACAAGGAATATAAATCCTTCCATTCCCCACCATCCAGTCAGAGTTGGATGAGAAGAGAAACATCTTCGAAAGAAAAAACAAGTAAGTCCAGTTGCTTCCTGAAAAAGCACCTTTGGGATAATCATGACCTGATGACTGAGAATCTCTAAAGAATCTTACACTAATAATAATAAAAAAATGATCCTGAGCAGTTTACACCTACCTCATTCAGTAACCAAGCTAAAAAAGACAAAGTCAAAACAATAGCAAAAACCACAGGAACGATCAGTCGGGAAAAAAATAATTTTCATACCTCCAAAAACACATCACACTAAGCATTCCCCTACAAGAGGGAATGATCCCACCTGCTGAAACAGCAAGGTCTTAATAGCCTTACAAAATACCACACATATAGGGAACAATCTATAGTCTCTTTTTAGCATCCTCTCTCTGACACACATTACATACATTCACACAGAGATTTGTGGGTAGTGGGGAAGAGTGGCAGGAGACTCCATTTCTACAAGGATCATGATGGGGTCTTCCCACTGAGCAGAGACAACAGGCAATCCCTTTGTTAGGCAGAGAGAACAGGGGGGGGTCGCTCCGATAAAAGGAAGGTTGGAGCCTTTTCTGTACAAAGCTCTGCAAATCTTTTCAGAATCTCCAAGGCACCCCTGCATTAGTCCCAAAGAACAAAGTGGGAAAAGAAGAAACCAAGACAACAAATATCTCTCACACTCCTATCTATCTGGAGTGTAGCTGCAGTTGAAAGGGATTTATAGTCAAAAAGGGTATATTAGATAACCATGGCAACTTCCTGTCCAGGTTGCATATTAACTGATTTTTTTTAATGAATCCCACACTTAATTGTCTCACTGTCTGAGCACTTTTACAATGGAGATTAGAACTTGCAGTCTTTTGGAGGGGGGGGAAAGAGACTGCCTATGGAGCAATTTTTGAAACCACCTTTAAATTTAGAAAAGATTTCCCAAAATAAACCGTACGTTACTTCTGGCATGATTCATCTCTAAGATACCTCTGGCATGAGAACAGTCCCATAAAAAGGCTGCATGATTTCAACAAGTGCGCTTTTGCAATTCACTGGAAAGACCATAAAACTGAGCTTCTCAGCTGTTGCTAGTGGACGTTTCGAATGGGGCAAGGTTGCCATTTTCTCTAATTAATTTTAGAGAACTGACCCACAGGTCAGGAGGCCAGCAAAACTGCAGCCACACCATTTACAACACAGATGTCAAACTGGCGGGCCGTGGGCCGGATGCATCACGGGCAGGTTCACACCCACCCCAGCTCCGCAAAGGCAAAAAACATCACGATACGATGTTGTAAATCACGGGTTTCAAACTTGATCGTGTCACGTGATCGAGTTTGACACCCATGATTTACAGCATCCCTAGAAAGCACTGAAAGACCGATACATTAAATAAAAATGTAACATTGAAAATCTCCCATGATTGTTAAACTCACAAGATTCCACCATTTTCGAATCAGATTTCATGAGCTTACATGGGAACACTGAAGTCTTGTGAGTTCTTGCATGACTCCTAGAAAAGAGTGTTGAACTCTCACCAGAAATTTTAAAAAAAACTGATGGCAGAACACTGTACAATATTATGCAAGAAGGCTCAGTGATTGAAAAGGTTATAGACTTCTGTAGCTCTGATAATTCCCTAGGCTCTTAAACAGATTGTTCCAATTAAAATAATCACAGAGCTACTACTAGGGTATACCTAGGACTGATCTTGTCTCTGAACTACAAGTCTCTCCTTGCATAGTTACCTATTTTTATTTTCATTCTAATGGTGAGGTAGAATGTGTGGAAAGGTACTGAGTGGCCCAAAGAAATCTAGTTAGTTTGTGTAGATTGCATTTCCTATTTTCCTCAGGCTGCGATGTCCATGTAGGAGGTGGGTGATTTATATTGTTGCAAGATACAGGATTACACGAGGGACGCACAGGCATGTAGTTTGAAAGTCATGGGTGTGTGATGGGAGCTGTCATCCAGCCTATCTTGAGAGCTCTAGGATGAAAAACCGGATATCAAGCAAGTTCCTCTTTATTTGATTACTCAGTCCATGCACTTTCAGTCCATTGAGAATAGCAGAACTTGTAACAGACATGTTAAGTAATCAAAAAGTACTAAAGCTCTGAATCATAATTTATCATCCAACAGATCGTTTTCGCTCACACTAGTAATTTCCATTCAGTTTGTGAGAATTAGAAAACAGTTCAGCGAGGTGTGGAGAACCGATGGTTCATCTTCTAAATCAATCTTTCCTACCTTAGTAAGTAGCTAAAAACTCCCAGCATTCCACCCCATTGACTGTGCTAATTGGGAGCTACAAGATGTTGTAATTCTAAAACAATATCCAGAAGGGCCTCAGCTCCTCAATCCGTCACTAAAATTGGCAGTGCTGGCTGCAAATTCTGGGAGTTGTAAATCCAGCATATCTGGAAAGTGTCAGGATAGGACAGTGCAAGGCTAGCTCAACTATGTTTTTAGAGTTTGAGGATCCCCTCTCCACAATTAAATAAAATTGCTTAAAACCATACAGGATCATCACCCTTGTCATACTGCACAAAAAGCGCTAACATCTCAATAGGTGTCTTGCAAAAGGATTGAAATTTAAGAGGATATTGCTATTCTTCTCCAAAAACTTTACGACATCCAACCATTTCCATGTTAAATTTTAATTCTATGGATAATGTCTAGGGGTATCATGGGCTCCATGCGCTGTGTTTCAGGCCAATTTATCTGAATGCTCTCAGCTAAAAGACCTAATTACCATTTCAGCACCGTTTAATAATTTTACCTACTTCTCAAGATGGTTTAGAAGTTTCTTTTCACTATCACTAAGAATTGTATATGAAGAAGACATACAAATCTAAGAAATTTTTCTGGAAAAATTGAAAGGCAAGGGTATCCCTTTTGTGTGTGTGTGTGTGTGTGTGTGTGTGTGTGTGTGTGTGTGTGTGAGAGAGAGAGATGCACATGAAAAACAGGAGGAATGTTTATTACACAAATCATCGCTGCTTTCATTAGTATTTGATCATATCCCGCAAGCATTCTTGGTGAGTGGATAGAAGTTAACCTGAATGTGGAATGTTCCCACAGGAAAAAAAAAACTTAATCAGTTGGCCTTACCTATGATCCTGAGTGGTGTACTTTAATAATTCAGCAAGCTGCAGGGGATATTTACAGATTTTCTGAACAGGGGTGAGGAGGAAACCATCAATAGCAATGTCAATCATTTGCTGAAGGAGGCGGCAAGCTTCAAAAAAATGGCGGTACTTGCTCTGTTTCATCAAGTTGGAGAGCTCAAGGCAGGCTCCAGGGTGATTGTTACAATACTCAGAATAGATCGCAAATCCTTCTTGCTAAAAGCAAAAAACAAAAATACAAAACACCAATTTTAAAATACCTCACAGCCGGAAGGAGAAAACTAAAAGCACGGATAAGCTGCAAGCTGTAGAAATTGCTTTTATTTATTTATTTATTTATTAGTTCAATTTATATGCCGCTTTTGCAATTCCGCAGCTGTTTCAAAGTGAAGGAGGAGAGAGGACATAGATGTAAGACACCTGCAAAGGCACAGAGACAATATAATTGTTTCTCAGAGAGCTGACAAAAAATGAACCATTGAGCTTGGCAGTCAGTCAGGTATGCAGGACCCAGAATGAATGAATCTTTGCAGCATAAGCCCCCTTTCTACAGCCCCCATTCCCCACCCCCAGCCTTTCTGGTTAAAATTACTGAAAATCTATTCTCTAGTTCTCTAATAGTTCTTTAACATTTAGAAATGAGAAATATTAAAACCTGGTAAGGTAAAGGTAAAGGTTCCCCTCGCACATATGTGCTAGTCATTCCCAACTCTAGGGGGCGGTGCTCATCTCCGCTTCAAAGCCGAAGAGCCAGTGCTGTTCGAAGACTTGTCCGTGGTCATGTGGCCGGCATGACTAAATGCCAAAGGCACACAGAACGCTGTTATCTTCCCACCAAAGGTGGTCCCTATTTTTCTACTTGCATTTTTTACATGCTTTCGAGCTGCTAGGTTGGCAGAAGCTGGGACAAGTAACAGGAGCTTACCCTGTTACGCGGCACTAAGGATTCAAACCGCTGAACTGCTGACCTTTTGATCCACAAGCTCAACGTCTTAGCCACTGAGCCACCACATCCCTTTAAAAAAACCTGTTATAACCCTTAAAATATACTTACTATAAATCCTAAAGCCCTGCTTCTTTTACATAATCATCCTGCTACTCATTCTGACCTTTGCCTCTTCAGAAAACGTATCTGAAAAATTGACTGTAAACTTCATTGAATTATGCTGACATTAATTCTGCACTGTTATCTCACTGTAGTTCCCCAGTTCACCGAACTTCCTTTCTCTTGTAATGTACTACTTAGTCAAATGAGGATATTTAACCAACTTACATGCTGAAGAAAGCAGGACCCTATTTCACTTAAGTGGGGCTCTTCTTTGTTGTACAGCTTCTCTAGATCTTTCAAAAATTTTCTTTGGAATTTATAAATATCTTCAATATTTCCAAATATGGTGCTTAGCTGGGCTGGAGTGAACATTCCTGTATGTTTGCGACATTGCCGAATGTATCCCTAAAAAATTCAACCAAAAGGGTCTTAATATTGATCAGGGTAAATAAAAATGGAAGATAAGCATTCTATCACTTTACAGTAAAAGAACTGCGATCATAACATTTCCTCACTTGTCTACTGCAATAATTCTGTAGAATTCATAAGGAATAATTATTTTACATGACTCAAAGTCAATATACAGGGACTGAATTCTACAGCATTACAGAATGAATTTACTTTAAGGAAGTAACCATTGTTTTAGTTCAACATCTGGACAACACATTTCAATTTGCTCCCAGACAACTGTATTATATTTCTATGGCAAGAAAACTGAGTGCAATACTAGAACAGACTCACAACTTGGTTTTCTGCTCAAAGAAATGCAACATTCTGTGAGTAACAGCAAGTGCCTTCCTGTATCTTTTTAAAACAAGGTTAAGGAAACATTTATAAAAGGTCAGTGTGTGTTTTACATGGGAAAGTGATCAGAAGAGCAGCTGATAGACCCAGGGTCAGTGGAGACAAAGCAAAAGTATTAAATATAAGTCATGATCACCAACAACCTTTATTCTGTAAAATGGATATTTTTTTTTCAAATTTTATAATAAATATTTGTTATTATGGCATTGACATATTAGTTCCTTTCTTGTCTTTGCCCATGTTGCTTTTCCCTGTCATTTTCTTCTGTTTTTCTCTGTTTTGTCCATACTGCAGCCTTGTGTTGACTGAGTCCTATGTACAGACCTGCTGGAAATGACTTTTATCTAAAGTAATGACCTGGTGCTCTTCCTGGACTGCGTGGACCTAATAACCTTACTGAGACTTCTTGCGTCATTATCACTCCCATCTAAGCCAAGAAAGACCCTGTGCCTTGTGGTTTCTGTTGACAGAATTTCTGCATAAACTCAGCCAGTTGACTCACCCTTATACATGATACCTTCCTGTCTAATGTCCATCAATAGATCAGGAACTAAATACCATAAATACATAAAACATTTCTGTCACTTGGGCTATCACAATTTCTCAAACACTAATTTCATATGTAACAGGAAACGACAGGGGAAGGTTCAATGGTGGGATCCTGCCAGTTTAACAACCGCTTCGGTGATTGTGCGCTCCGCGTGTGTGCGCTCCACACACACTCACAACTGACGCGCGTGAGTATGCACAGTTTTACAAAAACTTACCTTCTGCGTTACTGCTGGGGAGTAACAACTGAGGCACAGCAATCCGCTCTGCCGCGTGAATCAGCTGAGAAGATATAGGTCAGTAAAGCGCAAGGTCGGGGGGGGCGGGCCCACCTGATCGTTGGAGCTACCGGTTCGCCTGAACCGGTCTGCACCGGTAGAATCCCACCCCTGGGAAGGTTGCCTTCTCAGTGGTCTGGGTGGGGGGAGCAAGAAAAGAATAAAAATACAATATGGCTTGTAGCCCATATTTGCACTGGGGCAATGTGGATGTGTGAATCAGCCTAAACCACATCACAGGAAAAGGAATAGTCCAAAGAGGTTTTTATGATGGTGTTTTTCATTAGGGATCACTTCACTATTTTGGAGGGCTCATAGACTCTTTGAGACAAAAGTTGGATTCTTTCCTTCTCCATTGTTACATTATTATTTTATATTTTACCTCACAGATGTCTTTGAGATGTTTGATATAAATCCTCTCTGTGTTCATTATTTCCTGAATTACATTGGTTCTCATCTGATCTTTGTTTTCTGCTATTTTTTGGCGATGCTTTTCAGGATCTACATTTGGTTCTTCATCTTGGAGGCTACTACAGTATTCTGCAGATTCTTCTTGATTGACTCGTAGCTGGAATGAGAAGAATGGAGATCAAACAATTGAATTGAAAAATTCAATCTATATCCAACACCATTCCAGAAATATGTCAGTAATAATAGGGCAAGGTACTTGAAATTCTTTAAGTATCTTGCCTAGGAATACCTAGAATTATCTCACACATCCATTACCATATTTCTACAAACTTTATCAAAGTTTCTCTCCAAATAACCATGTCAAATAACATGATGGGGATTATATGACCTTTTTAGTTGTGCTACTGTATTTATGAATGCCCTCCTTAGAGAATTCCACCTGGTATCCATGTTCTGGTCTTTTTAGTGCTAAGTGAATAAGATCTTTTTATTTTCTAAGAACTTAATAACCACTTTATTGTTTTTAGGTATCTGTATTGTTGATTTTGCTGCAAGCTTTATTGTGATTTTATGTTGCCTGTTGTCTTATTTAATCTTGATATTATTATACAATTTCTCCCATTATTTTATTATATTTTATTTGTATGTTGCCTGGAATTTGAGTTATTAGGCAATATAACTGCATAGAATATGTAATAGTAAACTAAAGTGAGCAAATATAATCTAGCCTAAGGAAGTATCCAATTATCCATATTCTTATAGGAACTGAAATTACACTAACATTCACTCTGATTTAACTTCAGAAGTAAGTTCTCAGTTCTCAAGGCAGACTTGTCTCTAATGCCCTTATTATACAATGACAGAAGATTCATGTTATCTTGTTATTCTTAAAATCCTTCCTTTACTATTTTTAAACTCATTTCAAAGCTCTCTCCCTCCCTCCCTCCCTCTCTCTGTGGGTAGGTAGGTAGATAGATAGATAGATATAGAGAAATATAGAATTTGCTTTATAAATTTGTTGCATGATGCCTCAAAAATTCCAGTTTTGTGCAGCATCGGGTCATGACCTCTGGGAGTTACCAACAGAGATACATGTCTGATTAGATGTTAAAACATCTATTTCCATTTATTTGTAAAATAAAATAAATAAATAAAAATGTTCCATTGAGAACTGAGTACAGGTAGTCCTCGACTTTTCACCAAAATTTCTGTTGCTGAGTGAGACAGTTGTTAAATGAGTTTTGCTCCATTTTACGACCTTTCATGCCACATTTATTCATTGTTAAGTTAGTAACACAGTTGTTAAGTGAAACTGGCTTCCCCATTGACTTTGCTTGTCAGAAGCTTACAGAAGGTGATCAGATGATCCCAGAATACCACAGCACTCATAAACATCAACTGGTTGCCAAACATCCAAATTTTGATCACATGACCATCGGGATGCTGCAAATGTTCTAAGTGGGAAAAATGGTCATGTCACTTTTTTCAGTGCCGCTGCAACTTTGAATAATCACTAAATGAATGGTTGTAAGTCAAGGACTATCTGTATTTCAAACTTTCTTGGAATAATTTTAGACGGTTTCATGGCTATAAAATGGAGTAGGAATTCCCTGTGCTCTGAAGTCACAGATTGTCCACAGATTGTTGTTTTAGATATTACCAGCTAAAAATCAGTATGGAGAGGTTGCATTGTAACTAGAAAGGTACAAGTGACCTCAAGAATAGTTTCAATTAACAGCAACTTAACTGTCAACAGTGGAGCCTTTTAACCTTTTATATTGCCTATTTAGCCTTTTCAATATGCTTTTTGAAATCATTACTTATTAATGGTTTTCTCCTGCAAGCAGAAGAAAAAAAAAATGATATTCTTAAGAATCAGCAATTTGGAAAGATTAAATGCCTGCACACAAGGGAAACAATATTTGGGAATGAAAAGACAAAGCTGACTTTGGTTTCTGCCTATGCTGATGATACCCAGTAATACGTCTCCTCCCCTGGCTAAGTGATGCTATCCTGATGCTGGACCAGTGCCTGGAAGCTGTAATTGATCCAGAATGCAGCAATGATGTAGATCTGAGTGCTCCACATTTTCCCTATATTGCAGCATTGCTGTGTGAGCTGCAGTGGTTTCTGGTTTCCTTCCTGGTGCAATTCAAGGTGTTGGATATCCCCTTTAGAGTCCTAAATGGCATGACAACCAGGCTACCTGCCTGATGACTGCCTCTCAATAAGGATACCTGCCCATTCTACTAGGTCAGATAGGGTGGGTGCACTCCAGATCCCTTCCTTTAAATGTTATTATATAGTGAGAGCCTTCTCTGTAAATGTCCCTGCAGTTCTGTTCCATCTTTTCCCCAGGCTTCCGGTAGACTCGTCCTCCTTGCCTTCTGAGAGGTCTTGTGGAGCAGTCTCTTCTTGCAAGCATTGGGGTAACAAAAGGCGAAAGCATAGCAAGACGGTATTTAGATGTATAGGAGAATGCTGCCCCAAGGTGCAATAATTTTACTTTATAATTCAGGGACTACTCAGTGGTAGAATTCAAATTTTTTTACTACCAGTCTGTGGGCGTGGCTTGGTGGGCATGGTGCAGCTCGGTGGGTGTGGCAGGAGGATATTGCAAAATCTCCATTCCCACCTCACTCCAGGGGAAGGATACTGCAAAACCCCCATTCCCTCTCCACTCCTGGGGGAAGGATATTGCAAAATCTCCATTCCCACCCCACTCTGGGGCCAGCCAGAGGTGTTATTTGCCAGTTCTCTGAATTACTCGAAATTCCCGCTACTGATTCTCCTGTCAGAACTTGCTGAATAGCACCCCTGGGGCTACTGATGTTTTTACTGTTTTGTTAAGATTTACCGTTAAGCGTCATGGTGGCGCAGTGGTTAGAATACAGTATTGCAGGCTACTTCTGCTGACTGCTGGCTGCCAATAGTTTGGCAGTTCGAGTCTCACTGGCAAAAGGTTGACTCAGCCTTCCATCCTTCCTGGGTTGGTAAAATGTTTGTTTGTTTGTTTGTTGGGGGCAATATGCTGACTCTGTAAACCACTTAGGGAGGACTATAAAGCACTGTGAAGCGGTATACAAGTCTAAGTGCTATTGCTATTGCTATTGCTATTGCTATTGTACAGAACCTGGAATTGTCACAATATAAGCAGATATAGCAATAGCACTTAGGCCTATATACCACTTCACAGTAGTTTATAGCCCTCTCTAAGCGGTTTACAGAGTCAGCATATTACCCCCAACAATCTGGGTCCTCATTTTACTGACCTGAGAAGAATGGAAGGCTGAGTCAACCTTGAGCCGGTGAGATATATAGGTGTTTTGAAATAAAGAGCAATATATATATATATATGAATAAATAACGAAGGTCTCTACACTAGATTGGGAAGTTGGGAAAAAACACTTCAGAGGAAGGGAATGGCATTATTGTCATTAAATTACACAAAGGTGTCCATGTTGTCACCAAGAATTGAACTCAACTCAAGAAAGACCATTCCTATATACAAAACAAGCAAACAGAAATAAACAGAAGAGCAGGACAATGATGATTTTAATAGATGGGAATAAATGAAAAATCAAAAACAATCCAATGAATCAATGCAGTCTAGATGTCTTGGCGGGGAGGGAAGCAGGGCAGAATTTAACCAGGTCTCCAAGGATGTACAAGTGCTTGGAAGAGAGAGAGAGAGATCTTGCTCCACTTACTCTGACAAAACTGGCTGGAAACCAGGCTTCCTTGTCTTCATTTCTTCCCCACCACCAATCTTTGTTGGAAGCTTCAAGGACTTGGATGACTTCTCCAGCTTTGAAGGCTAATTCCTGATCATCCATGGTCACGTGATCCCAGAGGGCCTCTGCATAGACCACATTTCCATCACTTATCAGCTGCAATATAAAAAACATTTTGTTAGAAAACAAGGATCTTGTTGCAGTAGTGGCCACTTTTGGGAAAAGCGTATTCTCTAAAACTAGCTAATAGCACAAAATTATATATCAATGGAAAGATAATTTAAACAAGAATGTAATGCAGTGGTGAAATCTAAAATTTGTTACTACTGGTTCTGTGGGCGTGGCTTGGGGGGGTAATGTGACTGGGTGGGCATGGCCAATTTTTTTTTCTTTTAAAACCATTTTTTCTACAACCTCTCCGGCGAAGAGGTTGTAAAAAAATGTTTTCAAAAGGCTCTGACGATCCCAGCTGAGTTGCCTGATCGGCAGAGGCTTTTTTTCTTATAAAAGCCTCTGCCGATCAGGCAACTCAGCTTGGATCATCAGAGGCATTTAAAAGAAAAAAAAACTCTGCCGATTAGGCAACTCAGCTGGGATCATCAGCTGACAATCCCTTTGATGATCCCAGCTGAGCCGCGCGATCATCAGAGGCCTTTTTTTTTTACTTTTAAAAGCATTTTTTCGACCGAAGAGGTTGTAGAAAAAATGCTTTTAAAAATTAAAAGAAAAAGCCTCTGATGAGTGTGCGGCTCAGCTGGGCGTGGGGGGGGCAGGGATTTTTGCTACCGGTTCTCCGAACCATCCGCCTCCATCGCTACCGGATCGAGTGATCCGGTCCGAATGGGGAACATTTCACCCCTGATGTAATGCAATAACTTTTATGAAGGATTTGTTGTTAGAATAGCAGTTACAGTATAAAGAAGAAAAGTGAAACACGTAGAAAAAAACAAGACATACAAAAATTATCACCATAGAAAAAACGAGATATACAAAAATTATCACGTCAGTTAAGGTAACCTTTAGCATGAATTATGGTCTTATAACGCCTTCCCATGGAGTGAACCAAGTCTTTTAGTTCTGCAGCTGTTATAATGTGAAACCAAGATTGAATGATTGCTTCTATTAACTGGGTTTTATTGCTGGGTCGCTTCTGATTAACAAGTTTCTTTAGTTGGCTCCATAGATTTTCAACTGGGTTAAGGTCTGGGCCATTCCAGCAGTGGAATATGATTATCTTGAAACTCCCCCCAAAAAAGTGGTGTTGTTAGCCATTAAACTTCAAAAATAGACTTTTCCCAAAAGGTTTCCACAATTTTGGCCGCTACTGTATGATCAAAGGGTAAGGATCAGTAGTCATTGCAGTGGACAAAATGTGGAACTTTTTACGTATTTTCAGTTGCAGTGTCTGGAAATTCCAAAACTAGAAATTTACCTCATTGACAGCTAGCTGCTCACCTCCAGGCTGCAAGTACCTGGGGTTGGCGTGGCAGAGTTCTTCATAGCTGTAATCCTCTTCACTGCCATTATCATCGACTAAAGCTGAAGATTCAGCATTACCATCTGCAGCACCTAGCGGGAAAGAGAAATTCTGAGAAATTAGGTATTGCCAAAGCGACGGTCCATTGCATTACAGGTAGTCCTCGACTTACGATGACCATTGAGCTCAGAATTTATGTTGCTAAGTGACAAATTTGTTAAGTGACTTTTGCCCCATTTTACAGCCTTTCCTGCCACAGTTGTTAAGTGAATCACTGCAGCTGTTAAATTAGGAACATGGTTGTTAAGTGAATCTGGTTTCCTCATTGACTTTGCTTGTCGGAAGGTCGCAAAAGTGTATGTAAATAATGATCAATCAAATTATATCCTTTCTACTTTTGCTACCACAAGTTCTAATCTTTTTAAGGATCTGCATTTTAGGAGTCTTAATATTTAAAGCTGTACAAAATATTTAATTTACAGATATTTTAAAGTAGACTAGACCTGTCCTCCTAAAAGTAACACCTAATCTCAGTTCCTTAACTTCTTTTATTTAGAATAAATAAAAAAGGTAAAAGTAATTAGAATGAATTATTTTATTAATCACAATCACAACAGAGGAATTATTCCTAAAAACAGGAGGAACAGAGATTTAAAAAAAAACCTCATGAAGTTACAGAAATGCAATATATATTTGAAAGCCATCTTCATTAAAATCCATTATTGGTTTCCAGCTTAATACTGCATCTAGATTTAATTGTCTACTTTTTTTAACGAGTTTTAAAACAGATACCCGTTAAGAAGATAACAATAAATTGGAACTGATTCATCCAGTGAATTCTGTAGAGCTGGCTTATTATTTCTTGTTCACTGTAACTCTCACTCGATTGTTTACTGTCTGAAGTAAATATGCAGACATGAATGGGCAATTTTTATCTCTCAAACGGGAGTGTTAAAACTAAAATCAACAGTGAAGTCATTTTCATTATTTTTCAGTCCCACTACTCTACTAGGTTTTCCAGTTAAAACATGATGTTAGATATCCAAGTCTAAGCCTATGTTTAAACAGTTAAACAGTCTCCTACATCAACATACTTATCTGAAGGCTTTCCAGGCTCCAAAACCGAGTTATATCCCCTCTGGCTACCATCCTGCTATCCAGAAAAAGATCATTCACCATGCACCTGGTTTACATTCAAACCAAGAATCCTTTTTAATCCGTAAATAAAAATTATCATAGGTCACGGAAACTGCAGCTATTGGAAATGCCGAAATAGCTTATTCATTGCTTTGAGCGTCTGTGGCTGCATTTCAGCCGAACTCTACTTTAAAATGACAGCTCACTCTCTGAATGTATAGCTGTGGGGTTAGTGCCTTCAGTGACATCATGGGAAATCCTTAGGAAGTTATGAAAGAAAGAAAAAGAGAGAAGATATACAGACAAATAGTGCACATGCAGCATTCATCCATATAATTCGAGTCTGATCAATTCTTTCCTTATTGTAACCAATGCACTGATTTATTATTATTATTATTATCATTGGTCAGTCAGTCAGATGTTTACACTAGATTTGGCATTTTCATCTACCTATCAAGTTCTTTCCAAGGACCAAGGATAGCCAGACACTGTTTGAACAGGTTACAAAATATTATCTATTCTAAGTAAAGTTGCCTTTTGCAATTGACTGAAGATGATTTTTTGTCAATGCCGATAGAGTTCAAGAGGTGCTCCAGATGTCTGGGGATTGAACCCAAGGGACCTATCACAATTATTATTATTCTGAATTAGACTTTCACTGGGCATTCAGATCCATCTTTTTAAAAACAAAAACAACAACAAAAATCTTCACCCTTCTTCCTCCAATGTTAAAGAGCTACTTTTGTCTCCACAGCATTTACATAATAATAATTCACTTGATGCAAAATGTGCAAACACTGCATTATTGGAGAATGAAAAATTGCACATTTCAGCTCTTAATTCCAGGATTTCAGCAGCTGTACTGGCCCACTAGCTTACTACAGGAGTTGGGTAAATTAAATTCCATGGGCTAAGAGAGCTTCTACGTCAGTAGGATTAGTGGCACAAAGATTTATCAGCTGACTCACATTTCAAATCTATTTTAAACCAGGGGTATAAAAGAGCTGATTCCTCAGCCCACACGACTTCTCTTTAGTCTTGCCAAAAGACTAATTCCATCAAACTGCCTTTAGGAACCAGCAATTTTTGCCAGTTACTAGCAACAGAGAGATGGAAAAAAATAAAAATAAAGCCATTCTCTCTTCCTGTTGAAAACTCAGCTTTGTATCTTGTCTCCTTGAATCCACTCCCATTGGCCATTCTATAAGAACAGATGTTTAACATGAAGAATTAGACCCAAACCTGCTGCTTTTCTCTTTGCTTGCCATCCTCTTTTCCTTTTGTGACATTATTTCTAAATTATATAGGTTTACAGGCAAGGGATTCTTTTTTTCATCAACTCTACATTAAACCACTGTGACAATCTTTATAGCCTAAAAAACAAACTGGAACTATATTACATTCCTGTGAGAATTTATACTCCCTGTTCTTTTTTCAAAGTGCTCTTTCAAAGTCACAACTGTTTGATTTTTATCTGCTTCTAGCCTTCCCATATCACATCTGTAACCTTTGATCTCAGCTTCAAATGTACTTAAGCCTTTGGACTTCAGCTCTTTCCAATCTGCCTTTTCTGGAGCATTTGCTTTCTGTCTGGTCCTGAATATTCAGTGGAATCTGCCTTTAGAGTCTTGATCTGCTGACTCTAGAAATTAGTTTTATGAGAAGTCTGTCTCTGGATTACAAAATTCAGTAGCAAAGGTGGCAATTGCTAGGATTTGGCATTGTTAATGAAGGAGAAAACCACTTCACAACGGCAACATCTACTCAGTCTGTGAATAATTGAAAATCATTCAACTTTAGTAGTTGGACAACTGCACATTTTAAAAAAAAAATCAGAGAATTTTAATTTAGTGAAGATAGCTTGGTGGTGGACTATTGTTCCTTCTTAAAAGTATCAGCTCTAGGAGGAGGAGAATTTATCATTGGCTGAAAATAAATATTAACAAGTAGGTTAACTTAAACAATAAGGATCTTGTTTTCCATGGATAGGTAGCGTATTATTTGGGTAATCTTCAAGAGAATAGTATAAGAATTTAATTTTTAAGAACTCAATCTAATGTACTGTATATATTGTTCTTTAGTAATATGTGATTCCAGTGTGCCTGACAGAGAAACTACATTTTTTTGAATTATATTGGAATTTAATAAATAAAAATGAAGTTTAAAGATTTGAAAGATGTTTCAAAATGTATGTACTTGTATAAATCCCAGAAAAGCATTCCTAAAGACAGCATTGCCAAGCTAGGTCTTATAATTAAGGTCTTATTTGCTTTTTTGTTGTTTATTTCCTTCTATTGGTTCTAGGGATTTACAGACATCAGCCAGTATTCTTCAGATGGAGGTGATAAACTTTTCTCTTAACTACTTCAAAAATCCATTGATACCTGTTACAATAATAGGAAAGGAGAGGAGAGGAGAGAGAATACATTTTAGCTAAAATCAACAATCGCAAGGATTTGGTTTTCTTAACGCAGCCATAAGTGGCCCCAAACCTACAAAGTCACCACTCAAAATTCTGCAAATGTTAGAGATGTGCTAACCTTAAGCACAAAAACTAGCTTTGTATCCTGTTGCCTTATTTCCTAGCAACAATCAGAAGGGCAAAAATAGATGAAAAATATAGGGGAGTATACAGAAATTAGCTATAAGTATCCATGTAACCGAACTTTCCCACAACTGAGGAAAGCAAGAGGCTGGCCAGAAAACTTGAAATAATCTATGAAGAGTTGTTCTTGAGCATGGATTACAATTTCTTTCCCAGCACAGCAATGGTAGTTACAAATACAAGGTCAGAATTTATCTCTTCAGTGACTGCCCTGTGCTGATCTGACACATTAAGCAATAACCCTTGTATCTTTCTGTATTTGGACTTCCTTTCTGAAAGCAGCAACAATGGAAATTTCTACTTTTTTTAAAAATCCAAAAAGTAACTCAGCTGAACTGTATTTTGATGCTTTGCAAAACTCAGAGCTTTCAAAAGAGGGGGGGAAAAGATCCCTCAGTGCTGCTTAATTCTGTTGGCTTTTTAAGTGAGACACCCCACCCTCTTGGACCACAACTCTGCCACTGTGTTGTTCTCTGACTCAAAATATCTTTGAGGCAATACTGTAGTTTTGAAATATCCATACAAGTCATGTGGTTTCCTGGACTTCCGTGGGAAATGAACAGCCGGGTATTACGTGGCAATTTCTACACTTGGCACCTGCAAGCGTCGGCATTTTGCTATCTTTTGAAAGAAAAGGCCCAGTTGCAATGGAAACAGCTTTTCCATTGGTTAACATCAGCAGAATTCAGAATAGCTCTTGGGAGCTACAATGAGACTCTATCTAACACAAAATAAATTCCATCTTTAGATTCCAGGCTTGACCTAAGTGATTCACTGAAGCATGCAGAAGTAAGACAGAAGCTGTAGCATTTTTAAAAAATAGTTTTTATGATTGAAGAGGGATGCGGTGGATCAGTGGTTAAGATGCTAAGCTTGTCGATCGAAAGGTCGGCAGTTCAGCGGTTCGAATCCCTAGTGCTGCATAACAGGATGAGCTCAGGGTTATTCGTCCCAGCTCCTGCCAACCTAGCAATTCAAAAGCATGTAAAAAAAATGCAAGTAGAAAAACAGGGACCACCTTTGGTGGGAAGGTAACAGTGTTCCGTGTGCCTTTGGCGTTTAGTCATGCCAGTCACATGACCACGGAGAAGTCTTCGGACAGCGCTGGCTCTTATGTTTCCATGACTTTTTGGATATAGGCAAGTCGTATTTTTTACATAATGACCAGTGGATTAATTTAGCAACTCAGTCATGTCTAGCTTTGGAACCAGTTTTTGCGATTTTGCTGCACTCACATATTAAATGTGAATTACTACTACTACTACTACTACTACTACTACTACTACTACTACTACTACACTGTCTGGCCTTCAAAGATTCTGGGCAATTCACAACAATCAAAGAAATTACAATAAAATCAATAAAATATGAAAATAAAAGGTGGCTAGTGCAATGAAGCAAGGAGACTAACTCATTTTAACTATCAAGACTATTGATAAAACTCTAAACAGAAGTTAAACATTTTTCCCTAGCAGGAAATCGCTCTCTTGATGGCCAAGCTGCTTGAAGCACCTTTCTGAGGCTTGCAAATAAGCTGGCTGATAGGCTGCTTAATATCCCCCAGAGTCCACAATTGACTATTGAGCTGTCAGAAGTATCACAGTATTAGTGCTATAGCTTTTAATTCCCAGTAAAGAAAACACAATGTACAAATTAGCTCTTTGAATTCTTCAGAAATATTGCATATGGAAAGAGAGTGCATTTGCTATCTCTTGTCCTAAAACTGAGTAATATGTATATAAAATGTTTGCATATTTGGATCCAGGCATGGGAATGCATGTATATGAATATACACATGTGTGAAGACCACAATCCATCCAACATAGAGAAATAAAAAGGAAACTGACTGCCTTTAGATCATATCCAAGAAAACGGATACCCATCCAGCTTTATCGAAAAGTGTCTGACCACTCAATGTCCTACAGCACAACCAACACAAACTATGAAAAAGAAAACTAACAAACATCAAAAATAACTCAGAAACAACCAACAGACTGTTACAATTACACGGCATCACTGTAGCACAGAAACCAACTAAAGTTCTCCAGAACACCTCAAGTAAGCCAAAAGACACAAGTCCAAGAAGAAAAAATAGGAGTCATCTACAACAAACAGTGAAAGGACTGTCATAGCCACAATAGGAAGGCAGGCAGGACAGGCAGACAGAAGCACATCCATGAATACCAACTACCAGTCAGAAGACACGAAAACTCCTTAATTTTACAACGCATGGACAAAATCAACCATATTTTTAAATAGTAAATGTAACCATCCTAGAGTAAGCTAAATCCAGAAACACTAGGAATTGCTGGAAGCTTGGGATTCAGATACATGAGCCATCAATAGACACAGAGGTAGACCACAATTACAAATTGCATTCAAAAGAGACAATAAAAAAGCTAAAGAGGAAGCAGAAAGACCAGAACACATCTTCTCCAGCAGCCAATTCCCAGATAAGCAGGGATTCGCATCAGACAAACAATCCAGCAAACAATAATCCTAGTCAAGGAACTACCAGGGAGAAAAACCACATCCCTGTCAAAATTGGAACAAGCTATTGTATAAGAGTAAATCCTTTGCTCACTAGCACTAATGATATTCTCTAGTTGGATAACGAAATGTCTGCAAGCAAACAATCAAGCTCAGACCAAGGACTCCACACAATCCATCAACTGCCAGCTGAAAACAAGAAGAAACCAGAAACATGAAAGTATATCAAATTGCTTGTATGGTGTTATTGTTCTAAAACAGATTATTGTGTTGACTGCTTATTTCCAACAGAACAAAAAGCACAAGGAAACTGATAGGTTGGGAAGACCAGACAAAAAGCACACCAATTTTGCATGCCTGATGAAATATAACGTAATTTTAGAAAGGAAGTTGCCAAAGCAATATTGTAGCAATCCTTTCTACTTTGAACAGTAATGTTATCATAATACACATGCTATAGCGTATACGTATGGATGCTTACACACCCACATAAAAGATGAACTCAGTGATATATCAACATGCATCTATAGGGCACCCACCCACACACACGGATTGGTAACCTGTTACTTTCTATATCTGATAGTTCCCTTAAGAACAGCACATAAGTATAATAAAATGTGGCAGCATCTAGTAAAAAGAACACAAATATCCAGTCCAAAATACTATACATGGAGCATAGGTGTCTCAATTGTATTTTTGAAATATTTATTTTCTTGATAAAAAACAAAGAGCCTTGCAATTAAGCAAACATACAAACATTAAAATACCACAAACTTCTAAAACTGTGATTCTGAGGGTGCAGGAAAAAAAAAATCCAAATTAAAAATAGGTTTGAAGAAGACAATTATTTCTAAGACTAATTTCTACAGAAGTTGAGTTCCGAAGTGTGGGTGTTGGGAAACAATGGAGTAAAACCTTTGAATACTCTGACTTTATTTACTTCTTTCATCCCAAATGAAACTCACCATTGGATGCTCTCATTTGACGCTTACATCCAACTTTATCCAGACCAATGGGTGTGCTTTGAGAAAAGGTGAAGGGGCGGATTCTGGCTGAGACAGCTTTGTAGGGGGGAACCTGATGTGCTGGTACGGGGGGCCGTGCCACAGGCTGAAAAGGCAAAAAATATATATTTTATTACAGCTATGCAGAAAAAAATATTTATTTTGAAACTGTTTTTGAAACAAGCATAAAAGAACCTCTTGTTATAAATCAGCATTAGGGTTCCATATTATTCTCAAGATTGATAATCTATTTAACAGTAATGACTTCTCCAAATGCAAAAGAGATAAATTCTGAAGAATATCCCATGAAAAGTTAACAGTTGGGGGTGGGGGGATAGCAAGAAATTTAAAAACAGCCCTGGAAATAACGAATGATAGATAACAGATTAACAGAGTTGGAAGGGGCTTTGTACTGTAGGTCTAGTCCAACCGACTGCCTTAGCAGAAGACCCTACACCATTTCTGACAAATGGCAGTTCAATCTATTCTTGAAAGCTTCCAGTGATGAAGCTCCCACAACTTCCGAAGGCAACTTCTGTTCCATTGGTTGATTGTTCTCACTGTCAGAAAATTTCTCCTTATTTCTAGCTTGAATCTCTCCTTGATCAGTTTCCATCCATTATTCCTTATCTGGCTTTTGGGTGCCTTGGAAAATAGCTTGACCCCTTCCTCTCTGTGGCAGCCCCTCAAATATTGGAACATTGTTATCATGTCTCCTAACAAGTCTGCTTGATGACCACAGGAAGTAGGATTGGCATACTCTAAGTCCCTTTGTCTGTGGGAGGTATTCTTCTCAGCAGGGGTGGGTTCTAAATTTTTTTACTACCGGTTCTGTGGGCGTGGCTTATTTTATGGGCGTGGCTTGATGGTCATGTGACAATTCTTTAGGATTTAGCAGAGGTATTGGCCTACCAGGCTTTTAACTGCTTGCAGAGCTGTACCGGTCTACTCATTTGTTTTTGGAGGCACCAGTCTACCCATTTATTTTTGTAGGCACTGGTCTACACATTTATTTTTGCAGGCACTGATCTACTCATTTATTTTTGCAGGCACTGGTCTACCCATTTATTTTTGCAGGCACCGGTCTACTCATTTGTTTTTGGAGGCACCTGTCTACCAGCACACTGCCTTTTAACACTAGGGCGGCCATTTGAAGCCCTGCGGCAAGAGTTTAAACAGCTTTTTTCCTTCTAGCAGATCAGCTGGGACTCAGGAGGCAGCAATAGATTGGGGGTGGGGCCAAATAAAGGTAAGAATAATGCGGGGGGAGAGCGGGGGGGCAGAACCGGTTTGGTGACGTCATATCGTCACCACTACCGGCTCGGCCAAACTGGGCCGAACCGGAAGGAACCCACCACTGCTTCTCAGTCGCTATCCTAATCTTCTGGAATATAGGTAGTCCTTGACTTACAACAGTTCGTTTAGTGATCATTCAAAATTACAACGGCACTGAAAAAAAAAGTGACTTATGACCATTTTTCACACTTATGACTGTTGCAGCACCCCCATGGTCATGTGATTTACATTCAAGTGCTTGACAACTGTTTCATATTTATGATGGTCGCAGTGTGATCATCTTTTGCAACCTTCTGACAAGCAAAGTCAAGGGGGAAACCAGATTCACTTAATAAATGTGTTACTAACTAACAATGTTAGTTATTCACATGTGGCAAGAAAAGTCATAAAAGGGGGCAAAGCTCATTTAACAAATGTCTCACTTAGCAACATAAATATTGGGCTCAATTGTGGTCATAAGTCAAGAACAACCTATAGCATTTTCTCTAAATTTCATATGGCCCATTTATGATGATAATTTGTTTTTAACTCTCTGTATGCCACCTTGAGCTACTTGTGATTAGATGCAGTGGTGGGTTTCAAATTTTTTTACTACCGATTCTGTGGGTGTGGCTTGGTGGGCATTGCATGGCTTGGTGGGTATGGCAGGGGAAGGATACTATAAAATCTCCATTCCCATCCCACTCCAGGGGAAGGTTACTGCAAAATTCCCATTTCCTCCCGATCAGCTGGAACTCAGGAGGCAGAGAAGAGATGGGGGTAGGGCCAGCCAGAGGTGGTATTTATCAGTTCTCAGAACTTCTCAAAATTTCCTCTACCGGTTCGCCAGTACTGGTCAGAACCTGCTGAAACCCACCGCTGATTAGGTGGCTTTATAAATTTATTACTAATAAAAATACTAATCATTTTCAGAGACAATTGAACAAGAAATGTAAAAATGGAGGTAATATACTAGAATATTCAGAAAAAAGACCTTGCAGGCTCACTGAAATATTGAACTAACATATTTAGCTGCAACATACTGTTCCTTTGCTATCTCTGTTTCAATTGTGAGATGAATATAATTGCTTACATACAAGGGTGTCATTCATGCAGACATGGAAAATATCAGAGGGTTTGGGAAAAGCCCAAGGCTCGCAGATATTCAGAATATATTTCAGGGAAAAACAATTTAGAGAAAAATTTAAATCCAACAATTTATGCTACCTGATTTCTTGGAATTAAGTGAAAGAATAGGAAAGAGGAATAAAGTGAAATAAAAGGATTATATAGCTTGCTGAAGCATTAAACAAAAGCAAAATAATTCCATTTTTTTCCAATGACACGCCTATTATTTAGCATTTTAGGATGTTTGAATTAAAATACATGCACACTATTCTATAAATTAGAGTAAATTTAAATAGTGAATAAATAAGCCACATTCTAAAGAACAACTGAATTAAATGTTCACCAAATTTAGGGAAAAATAAGAAGGGCAATTTTTCTTTTCTAGCTGAAATTAGTGACACTTGTATAATTTAAACACTGGATGATTGACATAAATGAGCCATGCACAATAATTTTTGATGGGGGAGGGAGTTCATATAATGATACATCAAGACTCTTAGAAGTTGATATAATTAAGCAAATATAGCAAAACTAAGTTAAATGAACTCAAAAATCCCAAGTTACTATGGAAATACTAGTTACTCTAAACTACAGTCTCGATAATCAAGGGAGTAGTATTCACTTGCAGTCAAAATCTACAAACATACTAAACCAGAAACGTATTAATTCTCATTAGTATTATTATATTCACCATTTAAATTCTAGGATGGGCTGAGGTAAAATATAGCTTCCAATAAGGTCCCAAGAGTCACTAAAATAAATGTAACGGAAAATTTTGGACCCATTATTGAAAGGGTTTTTTTTTCTGGGCTGCCTTATTATTAAGCATAACAGAAAGCAAACAAGCAATCCACATGGCTTGTTTTATGTTTATCACAAGGGATTTTTGCAGGGAGGGTCAAAAAAAGTCAAGATGGCAGCTGCCACGGTACTGCCGAAGCTTCGCTCTTACTCATCACTGGGGCTTTGATCATGGGTCACAATCACCATCTTGACTCCTTCCTACATAGGAAGGCCCTGGTTTATGATTTGGCTGATATCATGAATCAGGATTTGATTTTCATTAACTATCTTTTTCTGGTCGTCCTGTTCACAATTCCAACACAATAAACATTTTTAAAAGCAATTTTTAATTCATGTATTTCATACAGATGTCTAACTCCAAGCTTCTTCTTCCCCTATAAAAATAAAATATCCTTTTTCATTTTTTCTTATTCGCTCTTTTCAACTAATTTGCTCTTAATAAAGAGGAAGTGAGCACTTTTCACATTTCAACTCTAAAGCTCCAGCAACCTCTTTGTCAGGTTTTCACAGCTTTTCGAGTAGCTCTTTTGTCTGGAAAGGCTTAATATTCATTGAAACTGAAATGCTTCCATCTTCTAAATTAAATTGTCAAGCAAGTGAAAGTAGTACTAATAAGGGATTTTACTTTCTGGCATTCTACTAGCTTACACTCTAGAGACTGATTTTTAAAAAGCTGACTAAGAAACAGATATAGAACTTAAAAATCCTTGCATTTTTGTGCATTTTCTCTCATTCTTTGCATACAATTGATTTTCTTTCTCTTTTTCTTAAAATAGTATGATCTTTACAAAAACCTTCAAAATCTCTTTTGATCCGTTATCTTTACAGTGCTTCATCTCTTCCAGTTAAAATAGATGCTTCACTTATAAAACCCTCTATGTCCCATTTTCCTTGTGGGTAGCACAATACAAGCACAAGGAGTTTACAATGTTTTCCACACATTTGTTTGCAAGCATTTCAACTTTTTATTAACACTGGTAGTAGGATGGTAGTTACTTCAAGCTTACAGCCAACAAATATGCATTAGAACAGCAAACATTTATTGTAGACGACTGCCTGGGAGAACAGAGTATGTGGGAGGTAGGAGGCTGAATTATACATGCATAGAAAAACTGCCCATCTTGTTGAAAAGGTAACAATATAATGAAACAATATTTGTGATGTTTCCACAAGGGGAAGTTTAAAGATAATAACCTATTTTTTCCAATAAATGAATAAACAGTGACTGTTTCATTATTAACACAAAATGTTGCCTTTAAAGGAAATTAATATTAAAGTAAATAATTCAAGGTTTGGGGGTTTGTTTTTTTATGTGTGCAAGTCTTCCATATTTATCTGTGAAATTAAAAAAAACTGTCCTTGCAAATATTCAAAGGCAAAAACAGAGAAAATTTCTAAACAAGGTACGGTATCTCTAGCAGAAACCTATGAATACAGCTAGTCCTATTCAAGATCTATTGAGTTCAGTGACTTATTGTAAAATATAATTTTATTTACACAAACTCCACTATTTGAATCCACATACATCACTCTCACAACTCAAAGCCTACATGTTTACAGACTTTGTATCACAAATAATTGTATGCATCCATTCACAATTTGAATTCTGAGTGAATGAAATGAATCTATCTTGTTAAGACAAAATTTTTGCCCCTTATTTTGGTTACATCTGCAAAATTCTTTTTTGGCTACATTTTGCCATCACACAAGCAACATTTAAGGGTGGGCTATATGTCTAAAAATATAAACATATACTTTTTTTTCCAAAAAAATGCAGGTTGAAAATAAGAATTAAGTCAATAATTTTCAAATTCATTTCTTTATAACTTGTGTTTCATATAACTGAGCCAAGGGCCATGTTTGAACAACTGCTATAGCCAACTACATTTTAATTGTGAACATGCCTAGATGTTCTTCCTCGTGAGTAGCACAGCTGCAAATCACCCACCTGTGATGGTTTAATCAACCTACAAGAATTAAGAGCGTTACTGTATTTCTTTTTCTCTCCATATATGTCATTGAGATAGCACAGCAACCTATAAACAAACTGCAGATGGGTATCTTATAGTTATGCAATGTGAGGTTGTAAGCTTTTGAGAACATTTGTAAATAAACTGTTGTTTATACCATGCCTCATGCCATGCAAATGTGGCCAAAAGCAATACAGTTAATTAAAACCCTTCTTGGAATTGTAACACAATAAAGTATAACTTCCAATATTCTAACTTGATTTGTATCTTCAGTTTGTTTTTTAAAAAATCAATAGGCCCTTCATATTTTTATGTTTTTTATTACTTATACTATCATAATCACTTTAGATGAATGAACTCCAACAAACTAGTCCAGAGGTGGGTTTCAGCAGGTTCTGACCAGTTTTGGAGAACCGGTACTGGAAATTTTGAGTAGTTCGGAGAACCGGTAGTAAAAATTCCCATCTATTCTCTGCCTCCCAAGTCCCAGCTGATAAGGGAGGAAATGGGGATTTTGCAGTAACCTTCCCCTGGATTGAGGAGGGAATGGAGATTTTACAGTATCCTTTCCCTGCCACGCCCACCAAGCCATGCCCATCAAGCCACACCCACAGAACCAGTAGTAAAAAAATTTGAAACCCACCACTGAACTAGTCCTACAACCTAGGGTCATGATATATCAAATTATTATGATTTTCTTAAAGGGATTTTATGATAATGATGGGTGCCTGCTTTGGTTTTTCTTCTGAAATAAAAGATTGGATAATAAAAAATAAAAGAGTAGACATAGATGGGATCACAAAGCAATTCTTGCTTAATACCAAGAAGAATAAAAATCTATTCCATTAGATGATCATATGCACACGATAACAAGGTCTTTGATTTTTAATAATTATACATTAAGATACCATTGAAATAATAACACAGATTTATTATGCTTTTAAACTTTTGTAACTATGAAGATAAATCATATTCTAACCATATAGGCCAGATTCATGAATCATCATGAATCATGGAGCATCGCTTGTCAATCTGCATTAAATTGGTTAAGTAAATGCCCCAATTATTATTCATAAATGTCTCTATACTCTGAAATATCCTGTTACTTTTCATATAATGCAACATAATCAGTACTGGTTTATTACAGAATGAAGAGGTGCACAGTAAAGGAGAAATATCTTAAAACCTCAGATAGATACATCAACATTCAGGGTGGAAAAGTTAGTATAGTATAGTGTACAATTATAGAGCAAGAATTATCTACAAAAAAGCATTAATTAATCTGATATCATGCTTTTAGAAGAATAAATATGCAGTGATGATTTGGAAGAAGCAGAAAGAAGGAACAGGAGTGTCCACTATGTTCTAATTTGAAGGTTACAGGGAAGAAAAGAAGGATGATCTTTTGATTTGAGTTTTTTCAGTGAGTGAATTTTATTTCTTACTTGTGCAAGGAGAGCAGTTATTTCTTCCGTTTGATTATTCTCATAGTAACTGATTGCACCAATGACAGAGATGGGTCGTCTTCTGTGGGCTTTTGGATTGGCTACTGCACAAGTTCTTGATTTAACAGGGAGAGGCTTGGTCTCACTGTCATTCTCCAGAGAGTCCATTTCCTGGGAATCCATAGCGACAGAATCTTCTGGAATGGAAGAACTTCTAATTGCCAACTGGCCATAATCTGAGAGCGGCCGAGGCCGAGATCTTTTTCCAGAACCCCATCTTCTGGTTGGGACTTTTTGAGCATCTGCTCTTTCTTCATCTTGAAATGGAAACTTCTTCCAGTGATCATCAGTAACAACCTTTTTTCAAAGGTGAACAAGTCAAATAAACCAAAAATACTTTAAAATCATATAAGGATTTATGCTCTTCTAAACAGGGTCTATGTACCATGCAATTTCCACTTCCATTTCCATTTATTTAATTTAACAAAATTCATAGGGCCACCCAATTCACTCTCAGTAACTCCAGGTGGCTTACAAGGATAAAAACCCAATATTAAAAAAAGCAATAAAAAAGCAATAACCCCTCCCCCTGGCAACAAGAGTAAAATAAGCCATTTAATGAGATTATACATATACAATCAACCATATTTGATAGCAAATGTGATAGCCTGTGGTAAAACATTAATAATAATAATAATAAAGCCAATGGCAAGTTCAGACATTTTTCTTTTGTTAGGAAATTTTACCAAAATATATACATTCGATTTAAAAAGGAGATATTTATCCAGTAGTTTCTAGCAGCATGGGACCAAAGTATAAAGTAGGGTTTTCAGATCTGTGATTTCCTGTGTGTTACGATTCTAACTCTTTCAAAAACCAGATTTGACTGTGAAATTATAACTGTGGCACTCAAAGGTGTCCTCAAGAGAAATCATGAAAGAGAAATGATGGTGTATGTATTAAAACATGGCTTATGGATTTCCATCATATTAAAATGTACTTAAAGAAACTACATATTTTAGTTATTTGTGCAATGACATAATAACATGTCTTGTTGCAAAACGCAATGGTTATACAGTATCTCCAACCGTTTGCTCTTAACTGAGGAACATTAATATTGAATAATAGGGAAGCTATGGGTCATTGTATGGCATTAAATAAATGGATATGATGATTTGAAATTACTTTGGAAAAAAGCCAAGATACATTAATGACTTGTTATCTCATTTTCCTTTTGCATTACTGTTACCAAAAGTGAACCTTATGCTTCACTCTGCAACCTTCTTACTAGGTTGTGAGTTCCATTAAACACAAAGATTTAATTAAGGGAAGACACATGCATATTGCTAAATTCATTTTCCTAGCTATTTTTCCAATTAATTTGCAGAAGATATTGGGTTTATTCATCATGATAACACATTTTCTTTTATCCATGTTGGCTCAGCAAGTCACAAAATCATGGCTTATGAAGTATAAGTCTTGGATTTACATAATACACTTAATGGAAAATGAGCAGATCATCCCTATCCACCCCCTCCAGAGACACACATTGTATCTCAGTGCAATTTATGAAACTAGATACTATCTTTATATTGGCAGATGATTTTGTAACCTTATCTGATGGGAATGAATAGAAACAATTAGCTCAAAAAGATTCTAACAATATCTATACTTAAAAGAACATGCCTTCCTTTGAACAAAATCTGCAGTACTCTTCCCCAACCGATTAACCTCCAGATATGTTGAATTTCTAATCTCACAGTCCTCCAGCTGGCCTAGGCCCATGCCAGCTGGGAGATCCAAGGGAACTATCATAATCTAGAAGCATCTGGCTAGAGAAAGTTGGCTTGAAGCAAACCTATGGAAGAGTCTCTTCAATAGCTTGGTGATACTTTCCAAAGGCCAAATGTCACTAACAACGGGGCAAAGTGACTATTTATATAATTATAATTGCCCCTTACCTGAAGTTGTCATCATAATGAAGATATGAGAAGAGAACAAGAAACTACTATGCTGTCAAGTGATCCATTGATCTGAGCAACATTTGGACTAAGAAAGTAGGAACCCTATCAATAGTCCAAACTATCTCTTCCAATCGATACCTTCCAAGTATTATGGGGCTACAACTCCCATAATTCACTAGCTAGTATTCCTGGGAATTGCCATTTCAGTCATTTCGAAGGACTCGGACTACAGCAGATGATAAACATTCCAATTAGAAAATACTAAATTTTGGTAATCTTCTATACTCCCGACTCCTTTGCTAATGTCAGTCTCTGTTAGCATTTCAAGATATAATGCAACATATTATTAAAAATAACGTCCAGTTAGAATACACATTTTCAAGTCCTAAAGATACCAAATTGTTATCTATAAACAAAGTATCGCAAAGGTTGTAATTTTTATCGCCATAACTGAGAAAAGATGTACTGTACTGAGCAGTCTTACCTCCAAATACTTATACAGCCTGCACTCTGAACTATCCGAACTTCTACCTGATTGTTAAGAAACAACTCTCTGCATGAGCCTTGCATCAGGCAAACAAGTTAGCAATAGACCTTTCTAAGCCACCTGATGAATATTTAATTGAACATGCATCCCCCTTTATTCAGGTTTACTCTTGAATACATGTATATCTGCATAAGACTGCAGTCATGACATCAACTTCCCTGCGTTCAAATGATTAACCCCTTTCCTCTGTTATAAATCCTTGTTATGTAGTACATTATTAACAACTTAAACACAACTCTTCAAAGGTCTACTCTCACCCTCCCAAAAGCTGGCAGCAATTCATATTTACAAAACAACACAGCAACATTCAAAAATTGTTTCTTCTAAACGCCAATAGTTACCTGATTGAAAACGGCATAACACCACTGCAGTTAAAAATAGTTATTACTAGTTCACACCAGTTAAACACTTGAAATTATACACCAGACAAGGGCAAGCAAATCAGAAAGAAAATCTTTCCCAAGAGCATACCTTAGTATTGGACATAAGCACTGGAGACCCACACAGACAGTGAGACATTAAAATATTGGTTAAAGTCATCCTTCTGTAATTTTCACTTCATTTTAAAAAGAACCGGGTAGAAAAGAGCACAGCTCTTAACACAACTCGCTGACTAATATGGTCATCTCCATGACCTTGTACCTTTAAACTGGGGAAGGACACGTCATATGTCCTCTTTTATGTGCTAATACATTATTGCCCTACTGTAAACAATAAAACTTGGTGAAGAATTGGAAAGATTACAACCAGCTATAATCTGCCCAAATTACAGTAAAGGTACAGCTTGTTCTGCATTCTCTATGCAGAAGCCCAAATGAAGTCTGTTTATTAAGTTGCTTTAAATGTTTTATCTCATTTAAATTACTAACAGTGCATTATTATCATTCCAAAAAGAGTTAGATCTAAAACTTAATATATTCTATTCAGAACAACAGAATGTCAGAGTTGAACGAGACCTTAGAGATCTGCTAGTCCAACCTCTTTTTCAGGCAGGAAACTTTATACCATTTCAGACAAATCTATATTCAATCCATACTGAACAATATTTCTGTTTATGTGTCATTTCTGCCTTCCAACAATGTTTGAAGTACAGTTCTCAGAATCTCCACAATGGCTGGAAACCTTAGCTGATAAAACCTATTTTGGTTGTTATAGCCCATCTGAAATGCATATTTGAAGAGTCCATTGTATATAGGTAGATGTTCACACAGACCATAACATATAGTGCATTGTCAGGTAATAGAGGCACCAACTGTTTCAACCTTTCTTATCTTCGCTATGAACTTTCAGACTGATTAAGCAATTCTGCTTCCCAAATTGCTCCTATTCTTTAGGTCAGAGGTCCCCCAACCCCCAGTCTGTGGACCCCTGGTGTGCCAGCAACCTGGCCGCACAAACAAGCGAAACTCCATTTGTGGGAAGCAGTCAGCACTCAAAACCATGCTCTCTCTGGTCTATGGAAAAACCTCTCTCCATAGAACCTGTCCCTGGTGCCCAAAAAGTTGGGGGCCACTGCTTTAGGCCTTCCAGAAGGGTATTAAAACTTGACTTTTCTGGCTAGTTTGGGGCCCTGAGGAGGGCACTCACTGCTGGAGGTGGTGGTTGGGATAAGAAGACCTCCTCCTCATGCTGTCTGTCTTTTAGTCCTGTTGATTTTAATAGTTTTACATTTTTAATTTGCATAGTTTTAATATTTTAATTATTTTTCTATTTGTCTTTTTATAATCTGTAAGTCATCAAAAGTCACCTTATAAGGGAGATGGGTGACATAGAAATGTAATTAATAATAAAATAAATTACACCTGGGATCATATAAACTGGCAACTGATCAGTTTTCTCTTTGTTAAGATTTTTTTCACATCCAAAATAGGAGAAAATTGCCTATGTATCTACCTACACCTATTTATCTGAACACAGCTCCCGAACACAGATAGTTGCAAAATAAGATATCACTTCCAATCTATAACCTAAATAACTTGTTAATTGTTATAATTAAACCAGCTGTAAATGCTCAGTTAATAGCTGATTGAAGCAACACGGATTTGTAGATATATCAAAATATTTTGATATTTACATGCAGCTCAACTGCATTTAATACAATTTTTTTAATTAAAAAAATTAAAATATGTTTCTATTTCCAGTAAGCCAACCATCAGTACCCTGCACAAATCAATAACCTTATGACAAATTTTAATGTGAACTTATTAAACAGTGTCATTTGGCCTTTATGTTGACAAACTTTTGAAACCCCATTTGAGCTTCAGATTCAGAAAGTTGTTTCCAAGGTATCAAAACTTAATCCTTTTCCATTTTCAGCTGGTTTTACTAATATGAGATGGCTAAACTCGAGCTAAGTTAAAAGCATTTCAAGATTCTCTTCCAGAAAATAACCCATATCTTCTTCAGGTGACTATGGCGAGATACTCCAGATCTTATGTGCTGCCATAATCTTTGAAGATATTATTAAAAAAAACAAACCTCTTGGAACTATGAGAAAATCCTTCATTGTTTTTCATAGCTTACCGTAAACTCTATGTTTGTTAGTCTGTTTCCAAGTAACACTCAAGAGTAATGAATAGCCTGCATTTGGCTTCTCGTTTCTTCTGCATCTCCTGTCATTTCAATGGGTTCTACCACTCAAGTTAGCTCTTTCATAATTCCCTTCTTGTTTCATTCCTCTGCACATTTCATCCCTTTTTCTTGGGTGATAATTGTGCCAAGGAATGAAAAGTTCTTAGCATTCAAACTGGAGAAGGGACAAGAACACTGCTATCATTAAAAATCCAAATAGATTCCCCCCCCACTTTCTCTGATTACTTCTCTAGTCTCCTGAGACCGGAAAGGAA